CTCGGGCCGCGTCGAATGTTTATACCATGTACTATAGTGTCTCGGCTGTATTTTCCTGCCAGCGGCTGACTTAACACCCGTGTCTTAAAGATCAATTCCTCTCATTCAGGGCGTGTAACGTGCACGTTTTCAGTACCGAAAGAACGTATTGGTCAGACGATGCCCAATTCTTGGAGGCACTGACACAGTCTCAGCCGAACTCCATGTAGTGACGTAGCTGAAGGGCTGTTCTGTGTCAATATGTCTTAGTACTCGGCAATACTATCATATGTCACACGCTCAGAAGAAGTCTATACAATGCGCGGCCTTTCTCGAGCACCGTGCTCACAACCCTAACGTGCATTGATGATGCGTCGAGGTGCCTAGCAAGTCGGCAATACTCATGATGCATGGCGGGTCCACGAGGTCGGCAGACAGGACTATCAATATGCTCGAGCGTTTGAAATAGTCCTATATGATTATAATAGTTGAACCGATTTAGTCTTCTCGACAAAATCTGATCTCAATTCTTGGCAGGCTGACACCGACAATTGAAAGACTTGACTAGAAGTTCGTGGCAAGCTGGTATGTACTTTCGCACATCCTTATTTCTCTGAAATATTGGGTTGTGCTTTGATACACGTAGCAGGGGAGGTGATATGACAATGTGATGCAAGAAGTGGGATTTCGGAGGCGGGATGTATTTGTGTCAAATCGAGTGTGAGAGAAGAGTGAAGAGGCTGTCCGTAAGTGATCTGATAATTAGTCACCAGGCCTATAATGGAAGTAAATCTAAACTCTGGCTCTACGCATCTAAAAGGGCTGCCCGTAGCCCTTGTGTCTATGCCTCCGTAACCTCGAACACTGTGAGCTACCCCGAGGCGCCCTGTCCGGTGATTACACAGGTACATCCTGACAGTAATCAAAGCAGAGTATTTCCTGTGGAGGGTGGGAAAGGTGTTGAGGGATTCGGTGGGGGAGTCTTGGGGGAAGCTTCGGTTGGTTGATATAATACCGTGTTGCATAGATAACTCGATCTCCGCCAATCTAGATTGAAACCTTTCCTCGCTCGCCACCTGGGGCTCTGATTCCAAGGTCCAAGGCATACTGCACGAGCTTCAGCTTGAGCGCGACCAAGTCTACTGCCACTCAGAAGAAGGGGCGTGGCGGAGTCAGTATTACGACCCGGCCGTTGGCAAACGCTGTCCTACCTGGTCACACCAACTGGGTCCCGCGGCACATTTTCATACATCATTCATAAGATTTTCTAGACATCTCCATTTTATCAGTCTAAGCGGATCAAAGCGAAAGGATACATGAAAAGCAAAGCCAAACGAGTGGCGCCGAACGAGTGGCGCCGAACGCTGTGCCGTCGATCATCAGGTGTACACAAAAGAAAATTCGACAGGTAAATCAGTTGTTGAATGACTTCGACTTGTTTATTTGCAGGTCAGATCGCCGCTGCCCTCGAAGGTGCAACGAGTAGGATCGTAAGTGTAGGAAAGCTAAATATTTGTCAGTGAATGATGTTCAGCGCCGCAAATTCTCGGGGATCCTTACGTTGATGTAACCGCCCTCGGAGTTGGTCCTGAACTGATTGCCTCCTTGGATGTACATGCAGTCGTAGCTAGCAGTGCTTGTGTTAGCAAGGTCACAGAACTATAGAACACTTTGGGAGGCGAACTCGGTGTTGAGCAGGCCCAGCTCAAACTTGGCAGAGCGCAGACCATCGATCTTGGCGGGGTCCGCCAGGGTATAACCCTTGTTGTAGCAAGCAGCCGCGGGAAACTTTGCGTAGTCGGGATTGCGGTCCCACATCTCCTGAGTGGTTTTCTTCGTGAATGCCTCTCTAGCCTGTTTGTTGGTATTTGTGTCAGCCTATACTGTTTCCTGAAATTCGTAGATCAAAAGTGAGGAGCTGGGAGACTAACCTCATTCCACTCGCCCAAGTTCTTGATAGTTTCAGCGCCAATTTCGATCGCCATTTTGACAATGATACCAGCGGCTGCCGTGCCGGCGATTCCAACTACCACAACAATGGGTCCAGCACGCTTGGCCAGTCTGGTCGTGGCCGGTACAGGCTCTGGTCCGATGGTGAGCTTTCCATCAGTGCCCTGCGATGGCGGTCAGTCTCGTCTCAAAAACTCACATCGTACGGTTAATTACCTTGAGACCTGTCAAAGTCTCCTGTTTCGAAGGAGGAATGATGGGGTTAACATCGCCGACAGCAGGCAGAGGAGCCGGCTCAGGCAGAGCAGCGCCACTTGCCATGCTGTTCAACAAAGCAAAAACGAGACTGGTGGTAGCGAAAAGCTGCATGATGATCTTGGTCTGGGTGGTGATGGATGTCGGTGTCGATATAAAAAGTCAGAAGGGGGTATTTTGAGTAGAAGATACTGTGAGTGAGTTGCTGCTGAGATCAAAATAGTCAAGAAGAATGAGCCATGTCATGACGCTTTATACTAATTTCTGTTGACCACAGACGCTAACACAATACAACAAATTGCTGCTGCTATGTCACATCTTCTAAACCCATGCTCTAGAGTCAGGCTGCCCTCGTATGCTGAGTCAAAGACATCCGCACCGCAGTGCGGCCATCATCAGTTTGTGCACGGTCAAGCCTGTGATATTAAGTTTGACTCAGTAACCTGGAGCCAGGGCTTTGAAACTGAGATACCTTTATTGCATCCAGAGTCTAGTCGGTCTGGAGAGCTCAGCGATTGGCGCAGGGCCCGCAGTCTGGTTCTCTACGATCGTGGGCCTCTAAAAACGGAAGTGGCCGAAACATCAACAACGAGCCGTAAGCCCCAGGTGCGTTACCCAGCGCTCACAATTTTGAAGGCAATCAAGCGAGCATCATGCGAAATTATTTCCTTCATCAGGTAAAAACACATCCTGGTGAAATATTATGCTGGTTACTGGGACAATTCGGGGCGCAGCATTTTACGAGTCAGAAGCAGTTGCCGTTTCAGTAGACATGTCAATGCTAATCCTTAGATCCCCTATATGAGCTACCGCAATCGGGGCTGTTCTTGCGGGGATTCTTGCAACGGCCGTGCATCGAACGTCTGCTGCGACGAAGGTCATGTACTATGGCAGGTAAGGAGGCTACATTGGGCAAAAGATTGCGATCATTTTGACCGACGGCGCAGTCGAGGTGCGTTAGCAGTTCTGAGAAGATTTCGATATGTGGGCACAATTATCGACACCACAAGTCGAAGTACCTGTTATCGTTTCGCTCAAGCCCTTGAGGTCGTGGCGTCCAATTTAGACATATCGAATTAAGCAAAGATGCCTCGGCATTCCTACATATGTTGCTACTTTTACCATTAGCCAGGCAGCATACGAGTGCAACCTTAGGCCAGAACCAGCTCAGTGGCTGAGCAACCGGGGTGGCTGATCTCACCGTGGATCCCCAAAGGTTTGAAGTACATTAGGGTTCTGGGCCCAGGTGTACTTGGGCAGTGCACGAGCGATTGGCACCAGATCGACGAGACGAAACCGGCTCTGCCGAATGGTAAAGAGTATTCAGCGATGACCAAATGTTCGCAGGGGAGGCTGCCAGGTGCATTGACGCCAAACCTTCTCCAACATAGATCCGTTCCCGCTCAGATGGGGGCACCCAGCGAGTCATATCCTCGTATGTTTCAGCAGCCTGCACGCTGAGCACGTCTTGGCACTCATCCTATCATAATATCGAAGGACAAACTGAGGTCATGGCCTGGAGGAAAAGCTGGCCCGTTCAGTCGAGTCACCCAATCGACATATGAAACACATGCGCGATCCGGGACTCGATGCACATGACACCTCGCAGTCGTCGGCTGATAAAACTGTATATCTCGCACAACACCCTGCGCCATCAAAGGAATATTGCTGGCCTCGGCGAGACTTTTGCATTGGTCAGCGACCGGGGATATCTTTTGGTCAGTATGTGTTTCGATCTTCAGCAGGTAGATCGGGATCAAGAGGATCCGGCACGTGGAATAAGGAATCACATGCTGCAAATATCGGGCATCCCGATGCTGATTTGGACTGTCTTGTTATAGTCCAGCTTCTAGAAGGTTGAGCTGACCATAGCCAATTCCGCCTCACCAGGCCAAATAAGAATTCCGCAGGCACCAACTTGCGCCTACTTCCGGGGCCGGCCGGCGGCCGGTGACTCAGGCCTAGCCAAGCCGCGTCACCTCCATGCATTTCCTTTTTTCTTCTTCGCATTAGGCAGCCGTCTCCGGCCCCCTAACGTGAAGACTGCAGTCGGTATAAGTCGCGAACGCTCTTGTTTGCGATCGCATGAATATTGAGATTGCGCTTCTTGATCCACCTCGATATTTGCATTGACCCAAGCGGCGAGCCTGTCGTGGCCTGCCTCCGACGCCCAACCGCAGGGCTATCTCCACGTCCGTACTTCTCTCATTAACCAGGGGATGGATTCCTTCGAATCGAGCCCGCAGACTGAGCCACTTCTTGGTAGTAGGCGAGCAGCAAACGATTACGGTGCCCATAATGCCTCCAGAAGCTTGCCTCCGGATTGCGAGACGGGCGGCCACCCAAGTTTACACGACACTGAGAACGACTTGAAGTACAATACCGACCATGATTCCGAATCTGATTCTTGTTCCGGTTCCGAGTCTGAGTCGGAACACGAGATTAAGAAGAGGCGGGCTGAGCGACTTCGTCAGGTTGGCGGCTGGCGAGGCTATCTGAAAGATTTTACCATCTTTGCGCCCTACCTCATACCGAGTAACGAACCTAGGGTCCAGACCTGCATACTCGTCTCGCTCTTGACGCTGGCGGGTCAGCGTGTCCTCAATATCGCCATTCCACACCAACTGGGCGTCATCGCAGACAAGCTTTTGGATCGCGAGCCGCCTTACCGCGAATTGTTGATCTGGCTCATACTCAGCATCTTGAATGAAAAATCAGGCCTCGGTTTGATTCAAGAACTTGTTAAGGTCCCAATCAAGCAGTTTTCGGAACGCCGTGTTACAGATGCTGCTTTCTCTCATGTCATGAACCTTTCAATGGATTTTCACTCTGAAAGGGACGCGGCCGAGGTCATGAAGGCCCTAGAGCAGGGAGGAGCCCTGATGAACATTATGGAAACTGCGGTCAACGAAATCCTGCCCACGGTGGTAGATCTCACAATGGCTATCGGGGTGCTGTACTGGAAATTCGGCATCTACGCTGCGGTACCTATGGTGTTCGCCTTTGCCTCGTTCCTTGGCCTCGAAATTACATCGTCGAGGTGGAACGTTGAGCCACGTCGTCAATCCGCCAAGGCAGACCGCGAGCAAGCCAAGGTCATGCATCAAGCTGTGCAGGGTTGGACGACGGTATCGCATTTCAACATGTTCGACTACGAGCGCATGCGATTCGGACAAGCATTGGAAGCCAAGCTCAAGGCGACCTGGACATGGAGTTTGCGCAACATATGCACAGAAGGCCTTGTCGAGCTACTGGAGCCCTTCACCCTTTTCACGCTGTCTTGCATCGTTTTTTACGCAGTCTCGCATGGTCGTGCCAAGACAGGCGACTTTGTCTTCTTGATCGAGTATTGGGGCTATCTCATTTGGCCGCTGAAGTTTCTTTCGCAAAACTACCGTTGGATGATGGCTGATTTGATTGATGCTGAACGCCTGCTGTACCTCATGCAGGCCAAGCCGACAATCGTCGACTCTGAGGACGCATACCCAATTGGGCATGTCGAAGGAAATGTCAACTTTGAGAGCGTACGCTTCTCCTACGACTCCGTCAGAGACATCGTTAAAGGTGTCAGCTTCTCTGCACTCCCGGGCCAGACCGTCGCCATCGTGGGCGCGACAGGCGCTGGAAAATCATCAGTCGCCAAGTTACTGTTTCGTTTCTACGATGTCACAGGGGGCCGGATCACCATCGATGGTCATGACATACGAGACATCACTCTCGATTCGTTAAGGAATACCTTGGGGGTTGTGCCACAAAGTCCCATGCTCTTCAATGGTACTATCATGGACAATTTGCGGTACGCAAGGCTCTCTGCAACCGACGAGGATATTTATTCCGCCTGCCGAGCAGCTGCAATTCATGAGAGCATCATTGGCTTTCCGGACGGATATGGCACCAAGGTAGGTGAGCAAGGAATGAAGCTTTCTGGTGGCGAGACGCAGCGTCTGGCTATTGCCCGCATTATTCTCCGAGATCCCCAGATCCTTGTCCTCGACGAGGCGACTAGTGCAGTGGATACAAACACAGAATCGATGATTCAAAGCGCCTTGGAAACCTTCAAGTCTGATCGCAAACGAACTACATTTGTTATTGCCCACCGACTGTCGACAATTGTCGGAGCTGACCAAATCCTAGTGATGGATAAAGGACTGCTGGTTGAGCAAGGGACACACGAGGAGCTTCTGAGAACCGATACCATGTATAAGAGACTCTGGAGCAAACAGCTTGCGCTATGATGAGATGTAGATAAGACTGGCTTATCTGCAGCAACTGGTGGGTAATGAAGTATAGAATGAGAACCATTCATTATTTTGACTACGACGGACGGACCTTACTTATTACGATGCCTACGGTATCTAGGCGAACTATCTTCGGAATCACTAGCGCCCGCTTTCGGCCAGGCCCGTTCGACACAACGTCAGAAGAGGGAGGTTGACATGATTAAAGTGGGCCGTCGCGCCCTTTAGCTTGACCCAGCCAGATACGATGCCTACCATGGATCACTCTTGTCGCTCAATGACCAACATTCAACAACGCTCTGGTGAAGCACAAGAACTTACGTCAAGCTTTAGAGTGATAAAGACGTTTACGTTTTCTTTGTCCAATGCGATGGAAGAACTTCCGAACAGTCTCGATTCGTGGCAGGTCGAGGGCCTGGACGACAACTTCCTCGACCTCGCGTTTGGGGCAGATTGGAATCCTGGGTTGGTTGACGATTTCCTCGTCAATACAAAGCCTTTGGGTGTACATGCCACCGATTTCCAAGTCAGTCTCGACAATTCCCATTTTGAATATTCTCAAGACGCCGCGCGCGACGATGCCCACCACACAACAGGCATCAACGACACAACACAGCATCTTGTCAAGAGACAGCACCAGGCGACGTCAATCGTCCAGCCAGCCGTGCGGTTCTCGCCAGCTTCGATCAAAATACTCAAGACATGGCTGTCAACCCATTCGGACAATCCATACCCGCGAGTTGAAGAGGTCGAAGCGTTCCAGAGGCAGACCAACCTCAGCAAACAGCAGATCATGACATGGTTTGCCAACGCCCGCCGACGATCAAAGAACATCAACATACGTAAACCTGCAGCTCGGGACAGATCTTCAAGCCCAATACCATTCACCCCATCACCAGGTCGTTCAACTCATGGTGCCGTGATTGGCGATGAGATGGATCCTTTTCAAAGATGGACCAACTCGCCCCCAGACCAGGAACCGGCTGAGATGAGCGCTATCGCGAGGGCTGTTGCAAGCTCTCTGGTAGTCCATGATCAAGAGGACTTCCTTGTCACGCAAGGCGCCTCTCCAAGAATTGTATGTAATGGGTCGTCAGCGAGCAGCGTGGCGACGTCGGACTCTGCGTCCCTCTCTTCTGCATACTCGCACACGTCGGGAGTATCCCTCCGATCGCTGGAATCACGACACAGAACCGAAAAACGCAGAAGGCGGAAAAGGGGCAAAATTCCAACCCAGAGCCAGAACAGGAAGCAACAGGCAACGACGACTAGCCTTTACGACGTTCTCTCACAAAGTTCGAACCCATTCCAGTGTACCTTTTGCACCCAGACCTTTAAAACGAAGCACAATTGGCAGCGTCATGAAAAGTCACTTCATCTATCGCTAGAGCGCTGGGAATGCTCCCCAGATGGACCTATTTTCCGAAACGCCCATTTTGAGCCAGCTTGTGTTTACTGTGGCGTGGTTGAGGGCTTCAACATGGACGCCCATTTGCAGAGCCACAATTACGAAGCTTGTCATATCCGAACCCCGGAGGAACGTACATTCTATCGAAAGGACCACCTACGCCAGCATCTAAGATTGATTCACCAGGTTCAATTAGAACCACTACTAATGGAATCTTGGAAGACTGAGGTGATGGAGGTCCGGTCGCGGTGTGGCTTCTGTAGCCTCGCCTTGAGCACTTGGACAGACCGAGTGGATCATCTGGCAGAACACTTCAAAAATGGCATGACAATGGCTGACTGGGAGGGAGACTGGGGCTTCGAACCTCGTGTGCTGGAGATGGTGGAGAACTCCATCGCACCATGTGAGTATACGGATGCCTGCCCCAAACAGATTTGGGATTTTCTCTGACTCCTGTGCAGACATCATAGATTATGAACGAAATTCGCCCTGCCCATTCGTGGCTTTGCAGACGATCTCTGACGGCCCCTCAACGGCGTTTGAGCTTTTACAACTGGAGACTGAGTACTTCTGCTCAAGCCACATCAATGTCCATCACACGCTACCTTCGAATCAAGAGCTTCAGTACGAACTGTGCTGCATCATTCTTGCCTCTGAAATTCTGTCTCGCGATACCATTTCTCCCGCTTCCTCGTGGGTTCGCGACCTCCTCATGTCTTCCGAGCATATCACTAGACAAGCCAAATCGCGTCCCATTAGGAGCGGTTCACGCTTTACGGATCTACGCACGCATGGGCAAGAGAACATATTTGGGAGCTGTCATATGGAGGGGGCGTTGCAAGAGTATGTGAAGAGTATGACAACACAAGGTGCAGATGTCACGAACGAATTGCTCCAGCAACAGGCTTGCAACATCATATGGTCATTGGCCACATGTTCTTCGAGTCCTTCCGAAATGCTAGCGAACCTGCTGGTGAATTTGACTTACAGTTCTACGAGCTGGCTTATCACTTTTCGTGAGCGAGCAGGCCTACCGCCCGCCTACCCTGAGCATGAAGCGTTACAGACAAGCCCACTATCTTCCGATGTAGCCTCTAAAACTCGGGCAAAAGGGTGCGTCGATCGTCTGGACGTTGACACCGGTATCCCATCAACGCTTGCGGAAACTGTGCCAGGTCCAAGTAGCGATGCAGCACCATTGATGAGGTCGTCGGGCTTTGTCGACGACAGCTACTACAGACGCCTGATCAGGGAACTCACTCGCTTCATCTCGAGTGCCATATCCCCGCGCAATCCTAACAGGCATGTGCCGACAGATCTCGAGATTCAGAATCAGGCGCGATGGATCCTCTATGATTGGTAAAAGATCTTCCAACATCCAGTGGGTTATAACGTGACAGCTAACCGATGGCCATGAAGCGATGATCCGTGGAATCAAACACCAGCAGATAATGAGAATTGGTTGAAGGATTTCAAAGATTCGATATCGATGCCTAAGCAGTAGGTGCTTGTCTCGTGGCTTGGCTGATGGGAATTTACTATACAGACAACCCGACACCAAATTTGTCCTGGCCAGCCTCTAAATTGATTTTCGTATAACGGCTTCCGGGACCAAAATTTCAGATCCAGGCAATACACTGATTGACACAATCCTCGGCATCGATCTCATGACGCAGCTTATTTGTCTCTCGTCTGTCCTGAACTCAAGCAGAAATATTGTCGGTCTACATGTTCCCTTCAAGTCTGCCAAAGCCAGATTACCCTTTATCGTTGCGGGCTATTCCTTGCCAGCTACAGCGACAAAGTTTACGAGTAACGTCGAGGTACGACAAACCTTTACAGCCCTTGGGAAACGGCTTCAATTTCCAGTGGCCTCGAGATTTCAAGCGCCATTTATGCAACTTCGTCGATCATCAATTCATTGTATACCGTATGGGATCTTTAAGCTTTGGGCTCCGTGAAAACAACGCCAACAGTGGGAGCGGGGTTCGCCTCAGCAGCCACAAGTTAACTGCTTGGGTCTTCTGCCGCATTCTCTGCTACTTTGTGCTGGAAAAAGCATGTTTTTCAAGCTTTAGCGATGCATCATGGATCATACGTCAGAAAACAGCTCTGGTCACTAGAGCCTTGCTTGCCCTGGAGAAGTGGCGCGCGATTGCGGTTCTTCGGGGGTGTTTCGGGCGCGTTTTAACTTGGTCACTGGTATTGATCTGAGGAGACTTTCCCTCATCACTTCATGAACTCTGCCACTTGCGTACATTATGAACGTCACGCGTGATCCTTAAGTAGGTCATTCAATCCATTGAAGGTCTTGTTGCAGAAAGCATGCCATGAGTGTGACCAATGCTTCCGCAGCATCGCGACTCTGATGCTAAGCGTTGGGGTTGCGGAGTTGCTGCGGAGGTGTGGTGTAGTCAAGCGATACCTTAGCATACGAACTGCCCGATGATGAAACTGGCGGCCGTCTTTGCATCATGAGCTGAAGCATTTTGGCATAAAGCCGTATATTACACCATGCGTTCCGAGCCGTAAGGGAAGCTTTATGGCGCCGAGTGTCTACTGCGGAGTTGAGGATGATCGGGGGTATTTTACATCCACGGCCCCGACATGCGGTAGCTGACACAATGTAGCTGACGTGCGGTGCGGGGTCTGTGACGTTCAACGCGGAGATCTCTAAGTATAGCCGAGCTGTAACTGACAAACATGTTATGCGCCACGGAATGTCGGAGGTGCTTGTGACAGGCTGTCGGGGTTGATGTTGGTTACAAAGCTCGGATTCGGATACTGAAAGTTTATAAAAGGAGCACACTTCGTGCGATCAAACCTAAACGTCAATATTGATTTACAAACCTGTTTCGTTCCAGCCCGCCTTCTCTCTTCACTGCAGACTGCAGGTACCAAGCTTCTTTTCACAGATAAGCAACAATCATGTCGTCAGTCGTAGCTGTTGCCGGCGGTACTGGCGGTATTGGTCGCGCCATCGTTGAGGAGATCACTGCTGATGCTAAATTCAACGTCATTATCCTAAGCCGAAAGGTTTTTAGTGCTCTTTCCGCCTTTCTGACACTTCTTTAACAATGTATCAGGCCGACTCGGAGCTTGAGAAGACTCTCGGTGCTCGAATTATTGTGGCCGACTACTCGAATGCCGACGAGCTGGCGAAGCAGCTCCAGGATAATAACGTTCTCACCGTCGTCTCCGCACTATCTTCACAAGCTCCCCTAGAGCAGGAACTTGCTCTCATTCAAGCGGCGCAAAAGTCTAGCACAACCACACGTTACATTCCGAGCGTTTGGGGCATCAAGTACACCTCGGAGCATTCTTGGTTCCCCATTGCCGCAAGCAAGCTCGCATTTTTCGAAGCGCTCGACAAAACACAGCTTGAGTGGACCGTTGTTGCTAACGGCTTCTTCCTGGATTACTGGGGTTTCCCGCATGTCAAGTCGTACCTTCAGCCCATCACGCTCGTCCTTGACCTTGCCTCCAACAGAGCTGCGATTCCGGGCAGCGGGAACACACCGGTCGTCTTCACGTACACACGCGATGTGGCCAAGTTCACGGCCAAGCTGTTGACACTCGATAAGTGGGAGCCCGAGTCCTACATCATCGGAGACAAAGTGACATGGAATGAGTTTGTCAAGACGGCGGAGCAGGTCAGAGGTATGTGGTGAATGTTCTTGCCCTCGGGGCTGTTCAAATTCTGGGTGCGCCGTGGCTAATCCGTTCTTCCGCGCAGGGAAACCTATCGAGGTGTCTTACGACTCGATCGAAACCTTGAAGTCTGGCAAGATCACAGAACTCCCAAGCCACCAGTACGCCTACCCGTTCTTCCCCAAGGAGGCTCTGCAAGGTCTGTTCTCCACATTCGGACGTTGGTTTGAAGAGGGGGTATTCAACTTCCAGCCGAAGAAATCTCTCAACGACTTGTTCCCAGAGATCAAGACCACGACTGTCAAGGAGATTCTCGAGATTCAGTGGAACAACGGTGCGTAAATGGTTGGTGGAGAATCCTCTCCGACCCAGTTGACTTGATCAATCGGCAACGAACATCTAGAGCGTTCGAAGTCAACAATACTATCTTTTCTTCCCTATTTGGGTCGAGTCTTGCCGCTCGCCACGTGCAATGGACCATTTCACGTAGCGTTATGTGATGTCTGCTCTGTCCCTTCCATCGTTGTTCTGGTACACCAAAATCTGGCCAGGTTACATCCGGCGCCAAGGCGCAGGGCGTAGGGCGTGCGTCCGAAAGGCGCTGCGGGGTTGCAGGGCATAGGCCTCTCACCGGCCCCGGCTCACAGCAAAGTGTCGTCCGGATCTCAGTGAGGTCTTGGGACGTCTTGAAATATAAAGTAGGCACTCGGCGCGCTCCTCTCTGTGAATGAAGCCTCTGGGCGCTAGCTTCGACTGACCAATTCACTTCCCTTTCTCTTCATCTCGCGATGTGCCATTGAACAGCAGACGTTGTCGGCTGAGTTTGGTGTTTTGCCGAAGACACAGTACAGACAGCCAGGGGCTTTTTTGGATTCCCCACGTGCATCATCAGGTGGATCATCATTATCATCCCACAACACCCATTCTGTATCTATTTCCCCAGGCCACGCAGTTTAATCAGGAAGCTTCACCATTGCCCTCTTGACCTATCTTCTTCATGCTAGGTAGCGCGTCGAGTTGACCGCACATGGTGTTCTTCGCCGCTGTCTCTCGAGACGCCTGAAAACGGAAAACCTGCTGACTCGGCATCATGAGTGAGTTGGAGGGGGCCCGCTACCGGCTGATGCCGAAGCCCCTAATGCGCATGGCGCCAAACCTCATAGGTCGCTAGAGGCGTCTTACGTGAATCTACCTGGTCGAGACCCCTCCGATTTATGGAGGGGTTTGATGGAAGCCCTCTGTCAGCGGCATAGAACTTTGTCACGATTGGGAAGACTCACCAGTCACACACACTCTCCTCACGAGCTACCGCCTTTTCCTCCTTCAGCTTTCCCATGTGTTTGTCTCTGGATTATCATTGACTGTCAGCCAGGGTTCCGCTGTCAATTGCCGAAACTCTATTGTTCTCAAGGCAGCTGCTTTGCTTGCGCAGTATGTGGCACAATGGTACCGACGCTCGTCGGCGGTCCAGTGAGCAGCAGCAGTCTCCGCCGCAACAGCACCAAGTGAGCGAGGCGCAAGGCATTCCAGATGACATGCAGGGCGACGGTAAATCTCACCTTCAACGCTTGATAATACGAATCGAACTACGATGCTGACGACGCAAATACAGTCATGAACTTCTCTGATCTGGACCTAGCACAACTCGGACTCCCTTCTGAAATGGGCATGATGGGCACCACAGAGGAACTCCAAGGCAGCCTGTTGGCGATGCATCCTTTCGATGTGAACCCCTCTCACTCGTACCCTGGGTCCTACTCAGGGGAACCCCTTACCTTTGACAACCTGGATCTATCCTTTGATGCCCTTCCGCCGGACGAACCCATGACCTCTTTTCACAGCCAAAGTGCAACGCCAGAGATGCCTCATACCTGGCTCGACAACAGCAGCAACGACATCAACAACAGCAGCACCCCTCCTGAGCCGAGGCCACGCATGCCTCAGGGTACACGAAGTAACGATTCCCTCCGATTCAGCCATCCCTCCAGCCTCGGCAGCCCGCGGCCTCTCATGGCTTCCCATCGGCAGCCCACCTTGCCACGGCGAAGAAGTCGATATCTCCGAAACAGCGGCGAGCCGGCGACTACGTCGTCAACGCCCCTCACGATCCCGACGACACCGGCGGCTATGACGGACAACGCCCTCGACCCCATGCAACGATGGCAGGAGTCGCCGCCAGAGAACGAGGCCGCGTCTCTCATGGCCATCGCAGGCGCTCTCCGCCAGCAGCAACGCGATGCTCCAGGCATGGCGGCGGCAGCAAATTACAACAGCAGCAGTCGACCGCGTGGCAGCCGGCCCACGTCGCAGAGCAGTTTCGGCAGCCGAACGAGCCACTCGTCGCGGTCCGTCACATCGGCGCGCTCATCCAACCTCCCGAGCACCTTGCGGCGGTCCTCCGGATCCCGCGGCAACCGCATCGGCCGACCGAAGCGCGACCGCAGCCCGAACCTCCCGGGCAAGGCACCCAAGGACCGGCGGCCTTTCCAGTGCACCTTCTGCTGCGACACGTTCAAGAGCAAGTACGATTGGGCGCGGCACGAAAAGTCGCTTCACCTGTCCCTCGAGTCGTGGGTCTGCTGCCCGCACGGCGGCGTCGTCGTCTCGCCGGCGACGGGCCGCTCGCACTGCGCCTACTGCAACATGCTCGACCCGGACCCGAGCCACCTCGCGGCGCACAACCACGACAGCTGCGCCGCCCACGGCGCGCCGCACGTCTTCACGCGCAAGGACCATCTCATCCAGCACCTGCGGCTCGCGCACAAGCTCGAGACGACGCCGCTCATCGACGGCTGGAAGGTCGAGGCCCCCGCCGTCGCGGCGCGCTGCGGCTTCTGCGACGCCCGCACGGCCTCGTGGCCCGAACGCGTCGAGCACCTGGCCCGTCACTTCAAGGCCGGCGCCCTGATGCAGGACTGGGTTGGCGAGCACGGGTTTGACCCCGAGATTGCCGCCCGCGTCGTCAACGACTTGCCACCCTACCTCATCGGCCTCGAGTCGCGCGCCCCCGTGCCCTTCTCGTCGACCGATCCCGGCACCAAGGACCACCTGTCGCAGGTGCACGAGATTATCAAGAACCAGAACAGAATGGCCGGTTCCGAGAGCTGGGCTGGTGAGGGCGCGCAGACGGCCGACATGGGCGGCGGCGCCGAAGACGCCTACCCGACGGCGGCGGGGATGGAGCAGTCTTCCGGCGAGGCGCTGCCGGCCACCTTTCACGACACATTGGCAGTGCACCTCGGCCGATTCGCGCGGCATCAGATGCGCATGGGTATCATACCGACGGATGAGATGTTCCGCGAAGAGTCGAGACGTATCGTCTATGGTTCGGCGGACCCCTTTGACTGGACCATTGCCGAAAGCGACCACTGGCTCGCCGGCTTTCGGGAGAGGCATGTCAAGGGTTCCGAGAGCCCTGCTGCGCCTTGACGTGGTCAAATGTGCTTTGGAGGGGAAAAGATGATCAAGAATGCAATACTTCAAGATACCACAGCTAGCTAATCGTAATCTATTCTACCTCACGATGGCCATCATGTGCCCCTAGACGCCGCTAGGGGTTGGCAGGCAAGAGCAAGCACTGCTCACTCGAGACACGGCATCCCCGGTACAGGCCTTCTGAGCGTAGGCGGGGAGCACCGATACCTCCTTGATCAGGTTGGCAGTGTACCCGGCGCAGAACTCTTGGCTCTCCTCGAGGCGGCCCTCGACGCTGTTACTACGCAAGGCACGCAAGCAGTTGTCGGCGTTGCAGACGGGCGGCGGCGGGCACTTGAGGCTCGTCGGCTTGACAACAAAGGCGCCGCGTTCGATCGTGTTGATGAAGTGATGTCCGGAGGGGAACCAGCCGTACGACGACCAAGAACCGACAAACTCGACAATGCCGCCGCCGGGTAGGTTGTCATCCTCGGGGTAAATGTCGATCCAGGCGGCCTCACAGATGCCGGAGCCGGTAGGATCCGATGGGCCGACCGAGGACACATCGAGGAGGCTGTACCCCGAGCCGTACATCGACTGGAAAGCAATGCCGTCGCGGATGTAGAGATTGTGATCGATGGCCTTGGTCTTGTATTTGTAGATGCCTGTCTGCTTTGGGTTGGCGAGGTCGCGAATATCCCAGATGTAGACGACGGGGAACTGGTCCGAGGCTGGCCCTGCCCGATAGCGCTCGTCACGCTCATCGTTCATCAGCAGGAACTCTTGGTTGTTGACATCGGTGACCCATCCCTGGTGCGTGTAATTGACACCTTCGTATGAGGTACGCGAAATGATGTTGGTTGTGAACTTGTCCGAGACATCATAGATTGTCAAAGAGTCCTCGTTGTACCCGTAACAGATGTCCTTGCCATCATACCTCTTGTCGGGACCGCGATAGACGAGGCAGTGCGCATCGTGAACGTAGCCGTCGCCGGCAGCGCAGCCCAGTCGCTTGGGGTTCTCGACTCCCTCGGAAATGTCAAAGAAGATGAGGCCAGCAAGACACGAGTCGTTGCGCGGCTGCGCTCCAACCGCGACAATGTAGTCGAGCTCCTCGTTGACCACAACGTTGTGGCTGCGACCAATGGGGAGATCATTGGTGTATCCAGCGAGGTCACTGATGGCATCGTATTGCACGGGGCCCGTCGCTTCAACATCAATGTCGAGAAGTCTCGTCATGTCAAAGATCTGGATGCCGTGCGCGACAGCCTCGGACCCGATGACCATGTAGTTCTTGTATCCACGGAGCTCTCGCCAGTCAGAGATGGCAGAGACCTGGGGGAGGTGCGCCAATTTCACCATTTTGCCCTCGCTCGTAATCTCCACGAAGGTAGTGCCGTCCTCCTGGCCGATGGCGACAAATTCACGGCCGTCATCGGACACCCATCCCCAGGAGCCAGAGCCGGCACCAGAAGAGCCAAGGGCACCGTGACTGAGGAAGTGAGTGAGATCAAACTAGGGGGAAAGGTCAGTCAGAGAGGCTCAGGCTATGGCCGAGAGTCGCCGAAATTGGGCCTAACAAACATTGAAGCACCTGAAGGTGTTGTTGCGGTCCCCGGGAATCGCTTCAATCCAGCCGTCAACACACGGCGTGTAGCCCAGCTCGGGGTACTGGTCGCTGTTGCGCACGCCAGACTCCCTCTCCGCGGCCCACAGCTCCTGTTCTCTGATCAGCGTGGTGCATATCTATTGATCATTTTGAATGTCCATACCATTTTATGGTTCATGATCTCTTCATGGACCACGCCCGAATCGTAAAACTCAGCTGCCCTCGCTTCATCGACGGCCATCTCCTTGCCCATTGCCGCCGCCACGAGCAGGCCCAGAGAGGCGCCAAGTTGCACGATTGAGCGAGCCATGTTGTCAATCTCAAAGACGATACAACTAAAAGTGTCGGAGAAGAAGACGTTGGACGCGCCGTGCACAGTCAAGCCGCAGGGGAGAGACGTAAAAAACCACCTTTATATAATGACAAGCACCACAAGATCACCCTTCGACGTTCCACCCACTGATAGCCGTTTGTCTCACCTCCTCGCCCATGATTTCACTCCTTTCCCCTCCCGCCAACTCGCCAAGCACCGCAGCTGCCCGCAAAGACCTGCGGGTCTCATCGACGCAGCGGATCCTCGCCGAGCCCGTCAACCTGGATCGGGTAGGTGACCGTCGATGCGATAAACGCAACGCGTGGTCCTCCATTGGGCGCCGAGCCGGGCGATCGGCGGGAGCCAGCCCGGAAGTGGAAGGTCGCAAGTTCCGTGGTGCCTCTTGGCATTGCCAGAGTTCAAGACTCCCCCCTTCACGGAAAGGCTGGGGGGACGGGGGGCATGGGGCTCCTCGGCCGTGGGGTTCGCTCCGGGGGAATACGACGCCACCGCGGCAAGGGCCGATCTCGAGAGGAAACAAAGCTAAGAGATGCGTGGTCTGGCGGTGCAGTGCAGGCGAGACGGCGTTGCGTTGTCTGCGTGAGGGGAACCTGGTTTTTTTTTTTCGAGGCACCTTGTGGTCCCCGGTTGTCTGTACGCGCATGTGAGATTGAGACCGATCCTAGCCGTTGCCAGTGAAAACACAGCTCCCGGTCACAATTCTGGGGTTTTGAGCACAGGTCACTTGGGAACCAGTCGGCCTCGCGCGCTCATAGTTGTAGAGAGAGGTACAATTCTGCAATCTTCCATGTATTCGCGGGTTTGGTAGGTCTGAAATAGGAAATCAAACATGACGTATAAATGGTTCAACAAGCCCTCTCTGATGGTAGACATTGTGAGAACGAAACCGCAAATCACAGGATGAGCAGACTGGTTTCAATTGACAGCAATGGAACGCTATGAGCTTGTATTTCTCAGCCATGCCCGCGCTGGGTGTCTGACGTTCAACCTCCATGGTAAGTACATGACAACTGGGGCCGCCTGGGTGTCCCTTCCTCTCTCCCAACACTCTGTTAGTCATTAGGAAGCCCGGCTTCCACCCTCGTGCTTACACCAACCACCACTATGCGAAGCATCCGAGAACGTGGCCACTGGCGGTACTTGAACTAGAGCAGAATCATGAGGTTGAGCCATGGCTCTCCGCAGCTTGGAGGGCCCTCCGCAGTCCTTATATCCACGTTCTCGTAGCCCTCAGTCCCTGATCGGCCCCCCTGTGGGGTGCTCCGCAGGGCCACCTCACGACCAACATGGAACTCACATTCGTAGTCAAACCAGTCAAAGACTCCAAGCGTTTGGCAGCTCTGGACAAGGGAGCACAACGATGCTAAATGGCAGAACAGTAAGAAGCGCGTCGGCCTCGGAAGAAAGGCCCTCTCCGAGAAACGAGTGGCATGCTTTTCCAACGCTGAAAAGACGGCTAGAACGAAAGGTACACTGTACAGGAAACAATCACCGCCTTCGGTACGGGGACCTTTAGCTCCAAGGCATGTACGCTCGCTGGACCCAATAACCAGACGCAGCAGCAGAGAAAACAAAACAAAACCATGACTCCAGCCGTGCGTCCTGAAAAAGGCACAACGTTCAAGCCGCACAATCCATCTTGATGCCATGGCTAACCGCTGGTCCTCGAATCACGACACAGGACGAACACAGCTGTGCCACTAGTCCCAGAACGCCGAAACAAAAGCCTAGGCCGAACGCTGGAGCATCATCAAGGCCATGCACCACGTACGTCCTTCCGCCTTGAAGGATAAGGCACTTGGCTCTTTGATTCATGGTTGATAGATCTCCCGTGTCCCGAGAACAGGCTGCGCATGACGGCCCTACTCAATGTTGTTCAGCAAGCATCTCATTTTCAGCGCGAACCCCGTACCAGGAGAAACTCAAAGAAAGGTCGGTTTGAGGTTGTTGAGTGGAATTGGTGAGCAGCAAGAACCCGAACCAGGCCCTAGAAAAACAGAATTTCCCAGCCAGATAGCTGCGATTCCTGCCTCGGCGGCGCCCACTCCCTCACAATCACCCGGAATGAAAATCTCCCGAGTCTAGATTTCAAGTACTTGCGCTTCATCACATCGATCAAGCGTGTTGGGGAGCAGAGTGGTCAGCACAGCAGGGTAAGATAGCATCATGCGCGTCGCAAGTGAATTCATCACTAACGAAGATTCGCTTCGATCAAATATCTAGTACAACGGCACCCTATACGCATCAAAGTCGTACTGCCATGTCGCCACAGCCGCCGCGTCGCTGACACACTCGGCCTCGGTGCCATTGCCGGACCACATCGGCCGCAGGGGCCAGGGGCACAGTTCAGCATTCGTGCCTGTGTTTCTCAGCGTGTCGGGCGACGTCTTGCCCTCGACCCACTCGATGACCGTCTGCAGCGTCGTCTGCGGCCAGCCCCCGCTGGGCTGCGCCGAGTTGCTCCCACAATGCGCGCCGCCAGGTACGAGAAAGAGCCTGTAAAAGTCCTGCAGCTGCTGCACACCGTCCTCGTAGCTGACGTCCGGGAACATGACGCTGCGCACCGACTCGAAATAGTGCACCGAAGAGCCCGCCGGGATCGAGTCATCGGCTTCACCGTGCACGTGGATCACCTTGCCGCCGGCCGCCTGAAAGTCGGCAAGGTCTGGGTATGTCGTCTGCAGCGAGTCACCATACTTGTTCTGGCCCAGGATCATCCACTCCTTGAGCGTGTCAAATGTGACATTGTCGAGGCTCGGGATAGTGTTGGCGTCTTGCAGCTGAAGGTACCGCGCAACCCACTCGCCGCCGAGGCCCGAGATGCTGACACCCCACGTTTCTGTATCTTCGTCGAACGCAGTGGCGGCGTCGCTGAAGCTGGATCCGGGCTGAGGATTGATGTAGACGAGGCGCCCCTTCGAGTCGCGCAGGCCATCAAAGAAAGATTGCATCAAGGCCGCACCTTCAACAGTGACAGTGCCACTTTGCGCAGGCGTGGCACGCGACGGCATTTGTCGTCGAGCCAGCTCAGCGAAATCTCCACCCGAGCCTCCAGTCGTGGCCTCACACGAGTAAGCCTCGCCTACCATGGACATTGTATCAAAATGAAGCTTGCAAAGGTCAGAACGGGATACGACGCCGTCGGTCAAGCCGTCAAGAGGGTCGCAGGCGGTGATGGTCAAGTTGATCATCTTGTCGAGCTCACACGACGGCGGGAAGTAGTCGGCTTCGGTTTCCATGACGTTGAGCGTGAGATGGTTCACCTGCTGCTGTCCATAGCGAAAGGCAGGGGCGCCAATGGCAGCACCGTCAAACTGGTCGCCAAATCGCTGAAGCTGGCTCCACCCTTCGCGACCGCCTTCTGAGCAACCCTGATAGTAGGAGAAGATCTTTTCCGTGTCGTTTACGGCGTAGAGGTTGCGAGCGAACTCTTTGCCCAGCGTTGCGAGCTCGTGGTGGGCTTGGTAGCCAAACATGTAGACGGACTGCCAGTTGATCGTGTTGTTGGCGAGAAGAAAGACACTATCCCACTGGGAGTCAAACGACCCAAAGCCACCATCAGTGATGCCGGAGAGCGCACCGACAATAACGCCCGTCGGGATGTAAGCCTTCTGGGAGTTGATGGCGAGGCCGCCTCCTCCTGTGGACACGTATCGATTCTTGAACGCTTCCGGAGCCGGAGCCCAGTAGGTGACGTAGACGCGATCGCCATCGGTCATACCATCGTGCGAATAGGCGAATGTAATGTTGCAATAGTCGAAGGAAGCAGTCGGATACCACTCGCTCGAAGCGGATGCGTTCCTTACTAGTGTCGTCTCAACCGAGTCCGCATCGATTGTGAGTCCCGGGAAGAAGTCAGCAGCAGGTAGTGATGAATGAGCGAACGAGGTGGAGCAGAGTTCAGTAAGGGAGGTGGCCTGCGCTGCTGCACAAGAGACGGTCGAGGCGAGGGCCCAGAGGGCACACGCAAATTTCCCTGGAGAGGCCATGTATGAATTGAGGTTGCAGGCAGAAGAAAATGAGATAAAATACGGAATTGGGTATTAACTGGAGATACAAAATAAGTTTTGGCGACTTTGGATGCCACGAAAAGCATTGAACAGTGGCCTTATAGGCCAAGATAAACTGCGTGCTGCTTGTAGCGAACTTATCGGCAGAGGAAGGCCAGCCAGTCGGCTCACGATGTCGACGTGCGCATCTGACGTCCGAATACGCGTGGTCAGGTCCATCAGCCCCACGGCGTTCCTCTCAAGCTGATGCGTATGGCATTCTCGCGCCGCCCCTTGGCCCGGACGAAGTGGGGGTGATCGCGAACAAGCATCGACGGGCGGCATGCCGGGAGCTGCTCGCAACAGCCCCACCGCGCCCGAACTCAGCCCTTCGGTCTTGGTGGGGCTGTGCTGACCCCTGGCCTGACTCGACCAGTTGCTACAAGGGTCCAAAGATGTGAAAAGGCCGCGATCCCCCTTTGTGGTGCAAAGACAAACTGACTTGCGTCAACACGTTTCGTGGATCGGACGAATCTGTCGTCCACCCAATGTATCCATCATCGGCCGCCTATGCCGCCTCGATGGAAGAGTTGAACAAGGCTGATCGCATGCTAGGGATGCCAGGACAATGAATGGGCATGTCGTCGGTGAGATACTCGGATGCTACGACTCGAGGGCCTTCCGGCGTCCGGACCAGCATGTTGATCGACCTGCGGTACGTCATCCGTCCGTCTGGTCCTTTTAGCACTTGGAGATTGTGGTCAAAGTCGGCGGCGAAGATTCGCATCGCCTCGGGTGGGTAGGGGACATCGCGTTCCTCGACTGCGCGTACGCAGTCCTCCAGTGACATGCTGTGCTCCATCTCAGTGACGCGTCGGCCGACCCTGTACATGGTGCCGACATCAAAGAGCCCTTCCTTGGCCGCGACGGCGTTCCCCATCAACGTCAGCGCCTTGAGGCGGATTGGCAGGTCACGGCACCTGCTCGAGGTGAAGGACAGGATGGGCAGCAGGCCGGGTTCGAACGTGAAGCAGGCTCGTTGCGGCTGGAGCGATACCGGGGGGGCCACCTTGAGCGCTGCCGCCTCTTCTGCCAGTTCCATTATGGTCCGGAACGACTCGGTGTGTCTGTCAAACGACATTTCAGATCCTTCACCGCCAATGTCGACGAGGATCTTCAGCATCTCGTGCGAAGCGCGAAGGTGGCACAGAAGGCAGCGCTCGGCCGGGCTGGAGGCAGGCGAATCAAGCAGGGGCGTGATGCGATCGGACCACCGGTCGAGCGAGACCTTGCAGTGGGCTCGTAGAGCTGGATCGGGATTCAGGCGCGCTTGCCTGGAGCTGGGGCCCATCGGGGCAAGTTCGCGCGTGCGGTATTTGAGGTCACACAGGGATGCCTCGGCCTCCAAGACCGTGACAAAGGGGTGCGTATTGGCAAGATCGCTTGTCATGTCAAAGTCGAGCGGCAAGGCGGCCCCCTGGCGGAATGCTCGCGCGGCAAAGGGAGACGCGTGCAGGCGGCGGAAGATGGGCAGCAGGTGGTCTCGCGCCCAGCCCGAGCATCCCGACTCTGCGATGATGGCAATGCCATATCTGCAGTGGCGGATGACCGAGTCGATGTCGCCGAGCAGAAAAGCGACACATAGGTAGAGAACGCAGGTCAGGAGGACAAGACTCTCGTCCTGGGCGGCCTGGATATGGCGCAGAGAGGCATTGTAGTGTTTCAGCGCAAAGGGGTTCCCTGGCAGCTCACTCGTGATGCGTTTGCCGTTCTGGAAATCCTCGTGCAGCGAGCTGATGGCGAGCACAGCGTGACGTACGGCGGGGGCAAAGTGGCCGAACTGCATGACGAGGTGTGTCCAGAAGTATGCATCTTGGGGTCCGGACAGAACGGGACCGACAACACGGGCAAAGTATTGAAAGGCGCGGCCCTCCATCTGATCGTGGGCAATCAGTTGATGCGGGCGGTACCAGGCGAGACTACGCTCCTGGGGAGACCTCTGGTGCTCCATCTCGTATCCGGCACATTGGCGGCCGGTCGATGTGCATCGGGAGCATGCAGGCTTCGCCTCGTCGCATTTGATCTTGCGCTTCCTGCGGGCGTGGCTGTCAGTCCGGTTTAGGCCAGAGGCAGATCAGGTCATCAGATGATGCCATCCAATCCCTGTTATCAGATGGGAGACGGGCGGTGTTTGTCGGCGCCGCCATGTGGCATAGGGCTGAAATAAGGGTATACGAACTTGCACGTCAGGCAGCCAGTTCTGACCTTGGTACCATGGGCCATGGCCGGGTGTATGTGGGGTTGGCCCGATGGATGGCTCGGCACTCGGGACGTCTCCAAGACGCGGCGGGGGGGATCACGGCACACAAAGTCGTCGTGAATCGTGAATGCCTCGAGGCGGTCAGGTCAGTCCAGTCGAGAGAGGGACGGGGGAGGCGGAGACGACTGCGCGCGCGCGTTGTGTACAGGTCAGGAAGGTAACAAGAAAAAGAGGCGATGTGATTGGGACCGGCAGTCGATCAGGAACCCGGATAGATTTTCATCCAGAAGTCCGGACTCGAGTCGAGTCGAGCCAAGGCGACGGAGAAGGGGGATAAAGAGGATACTATGGCCTTCATGTTCGATACCCCTTGGTCAATGAGAGTCAAGAGTCAAGAGTCAAGGTCTGTTCCGGCAAGGTTAGCTTAGGTAGGTAGGTAGGTAGTCTGAAGGCAGGAGGCAGGAGGCAGGGCTTGCGTCGCGCTGTCCCCCCAAAGCCAAAGGCCTCGCGGCAGTGACGGACGACGTTTAATCTTCAAACCGGTGGGGCAGATGCGAGCCAATCGACGACGACAACACCCGGCAATTCGTCTCCACAGCACATCCACAGGCCCCTTCCCAGGCAAGCCAGGTCCTGACAGGCTCTGACAGGCCCCCCCACGAGCCTCTGTCGACCCTCGAAAGCAGTAAAGAGGAGCCTGCACAAGCCCCTACAGAGGCACAGCCTGCCGCTACTCCCCTCCAACGCTGCCGCAACGTAATCGGCAAACCCCTATGACGACTCCCTCCGAGGCCCTCAAGATGAGATGAGATTGTGCCGCCTCACCTGGGTTAGGTGCCCCAGACCATCAATGCAAGGAGCTATGACCTTGTCAACGTTTCTCTGGCTAGCCCCCACTTTGTCTTATGCTTATGGGTTGCACTGCAACTGGAACTGGACGAGCCATGTCGCGTGGGGAGAGCTAGGTACGCGCGGCTGCGTACTCGCACCCAACATCAGTACCAGTAGAGAGTCATTCCATCTGAGCCGCCTCAAGCTATCGTGACTCGCGTCGTCATCTCCTAGACATTTTTCCTTCTAGCCTCATCTACTTTTTTTTTTTTACCCCTCGTTGGCATTGTTGTTGAGCCGCAGCCTTTCTCGCTCGCATGACACGTTGGACTTTTGCTATCCCTGCCGGGATCGGAGCACATCTGTCCCACTTACAGATTGTTTGAGACGGATAAGATTACGAACAAGCATTCTTCTTTCTGGGTACCGTGTTCACCACATGATCAGTGAATCACGTCTTTCCAAGCCTTGCCCTCGCAGCCTCATACAAAGCCGCGATATCTTTCCGCCACTGCCCTATGTACGGACGTAAAATGCGTCGATCATAAGTCAGCAGCCCGTTGACCTCGCCCTCGACGTCGGTCGTCTGCGTCCAGACCCCGCCGCTGCAGGCGTGCTGCTCAATCTGCTGCCGAAGCTCATGAAGCAGGTCGCCTGATCGTTGATTGTACGCCTTGAGGTCCTTCACAATTTCGTACGTTTCATCAATGCCGTCTATGGCCTGCTTGACGTCCCACAGACTGGGGCCATGTCAGTATATCCAGGGCTCTTCCTCGAAACAAGACGCGGGGGAAGGTGGAACTCACTGCTCGATCGAGACATTGTGCCCGATGCCGCCGAACTCGCCCTGTAAGGAGACGCGGCGGGTGTCGTAAGGTGGTACGCCACACTGGGGGCCCGTGTAATGATGGTTGTCCTGGCAGGATCAGCACGAGACCTGACGAGATACGCAAACATCAGGCGAAACGAGAACTCACCGCAAAATCACCGAATCCGTGATCGAACCATCCGCTCACGGCATCAACGAGCCTTGTCGGGTCGAGGCCGCGTATGATATCGACCAGCTTCTCCTCCGGCCAGGGAGGAGACCGCAGCTGCCCCCAGCCCTCGTTATAGATGACCTTTGGAACACCGCGTCATCAGCTTTCTTCCCACATCTTCAGGGTTCGTTGTTGCTTACCCATGTGACAATGGAGGGGAAATTCTTGTGTTGCTGAACAAGGGTCTCTATCTGGCGTTGGTATTCTTCCTGCTGCGCAGCATCCGGATGACCCGTGCCTGCATCGTCTGGCGGCAAGCTTGGCATGTCTTGCACCACCATCAACCCCAATTCGTCACAGGCGTGATAGAACAAGTCAGGCTCAATCTTGATCTGCAGGACATGAATCTTAGGCGGGGCTCTGTGATTTGTGGTGCAGCTTGGGATGGCTTACATGCTTGCGCAGCATATTAAATCCGAGGCTTTTGAGCACGCGCAGGTCGTAAATGAGGGCGTCGCGGCTTGGCGGTGTGTAGAGGCCATCTGGCCAGTACCCTTGGTCTAGGGTTCCAAATTGGAAGATGAACTCGCCATTCAGGAGAGGTCGGGGGATTCCATCAACTACACCTCTTGAGATGCTGCGAAATCCAGCATAGCTGGATATCTGGTCACTGCCCATTGTGAGAGAAAGTCGGTACAGCACCGGGTGAGAAGGAGACCACAGGCGAGGGCTCTTGACCTGGACTTCGAAGGGACTATTGGATTGGCCCGAGCCCTTGACCACAAGCTTGCCGTCGGCATCGTAGACAGACAGCTCGACATGCGGGGATATCTGCGCTTGCGAATTGTGGGCAAAGACCACCACTGTTGCATGTCAGTTTTGTCTGGTCGAACGAGGCTTCGGAAGCCATCGACCAACATTTGCCATCCATCTTTGCTTCAATGTCCAGTTGTGTAATGTGATTGACCGGCACGCTCTCGAGCCAGACTTGCTGCCAGATACCCGAGCAGGGCCTGTACCAGATATGCCGCGGATTTTTGGATTGCTTGCCGACGGGGATGACATGCGGTTTCACGTCTGTAGGGTCATGAACGTGAACAAGTCTGTGGACACGTCAGCATGGCAGAGTCCTCAGATTACAGGTGTCAGGGGCTAGTCGTCGGGTATAGCCCGTAACAACAGGTTTTTATCATATGCCATGCTTACAAGTCGTTCGCCCCCTCTCGCCGCAGATGTCGAGTGACATCAAGACTAAAGCGAGAATATCCTCCGACATGGGAGCCAACACGTTCACCGTTGACAAAAATCTTGGCCTCGTAGTCTACGGCTTCAAAGTGAAGCATGACGATTTGCCCTTCCCAGTCTGCAGGGACCTCGAACGTAGTTGCGAACCACATCCGCGTGACGTTCAATTCTTGCAATCCGGACAGGCCGCTCTCGATGCACGACGGGATGAGGACCTCGCGCTCAAGAGGGCTTCCCGGGAGAAACTTGACGCCCTTCTTCTCCTCTGCCGGCTGGTACGTCCAGATTCCGTTCAGGCTCTGCCAGGCGTCGCGGACAAGCTGCGGGCGGGGGTGCTCGGGCCATGGGTCTGTTCCAACTTTGTAGGTCCAAGGCGTGTCGAGGGGCGGCTTTTGAATCTTGTAAGGGATTGGTTTGCGTGCATCTTGGGCGCAGGACCGTTGGGTGAAGCTGGCTAACCCCAGCACAGAGAGCACGAGGCAAGGCGTGAGGTGCATGGTGATGACGTGATGGGTCTGGTTGCGACTTGGGTGACCAGCCGGCAATGTCTGGCAGGCGATTGTATATCCCGAGCAGAGAACATGAAACGTGGTCAAGCTGAAGCTGCGAAAGTGATTCCTGTAGTTGTTTCTATGTATTCAATCGTGAGTTGAGCAATCCGGGCGGCAGTAGATGGCATGAAAGGGCGGTTTGGAGGTGCTGTTGCTTCTCCGCACGATCGCCGGCCGCCCGGTCGTAGCTGCCCTGCTGTTGAGGCATGCATGTCCAACGCAAACCTTCTGCCGCCATGTCTCATTCATGTACGGTCTCCCAGGTTCATGTCCTCGCCAAAACGGCTCCATTTCGTGACTGCATCCTGGAGACAAATACAGTCCCAAATGTTAATGAATACAGGCGAGCGAGCCAAGGAATGGCGCTTGAGATGTACCCAGTCAAAGCGAAAGGTATGACTATGACATGACAGAGATGGTGGATGGGAGGTACAAGGTTGGTTGGTATGGTTAGGTCATGGCCGGCACCGGATCAGTCATGGGGTAGTCCAGATCCTAGTTACCTTACTCACAAGCAGAGCTGAGAAGCCCGATGAAATGCCACTTCTTCTATAAGGACTCGCCATGGCATCTGCATGCTTGACATGGAGGGGGTTCGGAGAATTCCCGTTTCCAAGTACCGACGCGTTCATCAGCCACATTGCAGCCATCGTGGGGCATCTTGGGTCTTGAGGCTGATACACCAGCTGCCCCACAGCGACCTGCCGCGGACGGGTCTCCTTCCTCGTCCCTGGTACGTACATGGAGCTCAACATGGCCCGGGTGTGCCCGGGTCGACGAACATTTGTTGGGTGAAGCAGCCGGGAGCGACAAGCATAATAAAGCATCAACCCCCGACAGCACTCCGACAGCATTCCCCTCCCTATAAACTCGCCTGCATCCTCGGCTTGCTTTGCTCCATCCACCAGCCAATCGATCCCCCTCGGCTTGCGCGCACCCCGCTCGGCTGGTCACCATGAACGTCCTTAAGCACGCCGCCGTCCCAGGACGGTACGCCTTGGCCCGCGCCGCCGCAAACACCTCCAGATCGCAAGTCTGCACCACACGAACGCTGCACACGACCATCGCCAGGATGTCCGCCTCCACACGAACCGAAACAGACGCCTTTGGCGCCCTCCAGGTCCCCGCCGACAGGTATTGGGGCGCCCAGACCGAGAGGTCTCTGGAGAACTTCAAGATCAACCAGCCCCAGGACCGCATGCCGCCGCCCATCATCAAAGCCTTTGGCATCCTCAAGGGCGCCGCCGCCACGGTCAACATGCGCTACGGCCTCGACGAGACGATCGGCAAGGCCATCCAGCAGGCCGCCGCCGAGGTCGCCGAGGGCAAGCTGCTCGACCACTTCCCCCTCGTCGTCTGGCAGACGGGCTCCGGCACCCAGTCCAACATGAACGCCAACGAGGTCATCTCGAACCGCGCCATCGAGATCCTCGGCGGCGAGATGGGTTCCAAGACGCCCGTCCACCCCAACGACCACGTCAACCGCAGCGCCTCGTCCAACGACACCTTCCCCACCGTCATGCACATTGCCGCCGTGCTCGAGATGGAGTCGGAGCTCATCCCCGCCATCCGGAGCCTGCGCGACGCCCTGCAGGTCAAGGTCGACGACTTTGAGGCCAAGAAGATCATCAAGATCGGCCGCACCCACCTCCAGGACGCCACGCCCCTGACCCTCGCCCAGGAGTTCTCCGGCTACGTCGCCCAGCTCGACGCCGGCATCGCCCGCGTCCAGTCCTCGCTGCCCGACCTGCGCCTGCTCGCCCAGGGCGGCACCGCCGTCGGCACCGGCATCAACACCTTCCAGGGCTTCGCCGAGGGCATCGCCGAGGAGGTCTCCAGGATGACGGGCACCGAGTTCAAGACGGCGCCCAACAAGTTCGAGGCCCTCGCCGCCCACGACGCCATCGTCCAGGCCCACGGCTCCCTCAACACCCTCGCCGGCTCCCTCAGCAAGATCGCCCAGGACATCCGCTACCTCGGCAGCGGGCCCCGCTGCGGCCTCGGCGAGCTCAACCTGCCCGAGAACGAGCCCGGCAGCAGCATCATGCCCGGCAAGGTCAACCCCACCCAGTGCGAGGCCCTCACCATGGTCTGCGCCCAGGTCATGGGCAACCACGTCGCCACCACCATTGGCGGCATGAACGGCCAGTTCGAGCTCAACGTCTACAAGCCCCTCGTCATCCGCAACCTGCTGCACAGCGTCCGCATCCTCAGCGACGGCATGCGCTCGTTTGAGAAGAACCTCGTCGTCGGCCTCGCCGCCAACGAGCAGAAGATTGCCAGCATCATGCAGGAGTCGTACGTTCCCGTCCCTTTCATCGCTTGTGGTTCCCGGCATCAGCTAACCCGCACACAGCCTCATGCTCGTCACCTGCCTGAACCCCAAGATCGGATACGACATGGCCAGCAAGGTCGCCAAGAACGCCCACAAGAAGGGCCTCACCCTCAAGGAGAGCGCCATGGAGCTCAACGCCCTGACCGAGGAGGAGTTTGACACGCTGGTGAAGCCCGAGCTCATGGTCGGCCCCGCCGAGTACAAGCCGTGAGAGAGAGAGAGAGAGAGAGAGAGAGAGAGAGAGAGAGCTGAAAATTAGACGAGTGAACAGGAGAGGGCCGAGTGTATGAGAAATAGACGGAATTGTTGAAGATGGGAAAAGGGGGGGAAGCGGCATCACATGTACACCATCCTAAAAGCATCATGCCATGCGTCACGTAGCCAGCGGGGTCTTTGCATGCTTACTTTGCTGTGAATTGCCGAATCCCTTGAGCAGGCTTACACATATCTTTGAATCCTGCCTATTGTGATGTGAAGTGTCATGGGTTCAGTCATCCGTAATCGATATGTAATTCGAGTTTTGACCAATGCACTATTCCATGGTGACTACGTGCTACTCAAAATAGAGTGGAAGTTCCGGTATGCATCGTGAGATCTCGGCCAATTTTGGGGGCAAGGATATCCCATAGTGCTTCAAGCTAGGGAGATTGAAGTCCCGGCTTCCAGTTTCAGTTTTGATCTTCTTCCATTGTTAGAAGATAGTAGAATCTTCTTCCATTGTTAGAAGATAGTAGAATCTTCTTCCATTGTTAGAAGATAGTAGAATCTTCTTCCATTGTTAGAAGATAGTAGAATCTTCTTCCATCGTTAGAAGATAGTAGAATCTTCTTCCATCGTTAGAAGATGGTAGAGAACGACCAGAAGCGGAAGGTCAAGTACTTGCCAGCAAACTAGCTGCAGGCTCTTCCTTGCATCAAGGAGGACGAAGGATGCACACAAATTTCAGGGTCACTGCAAACAGCCAACAGCTGAGGACCCCGTGTCCCACACTATCATGACGATAGAACAGCGTGTACAGATCAAGACGACACCCGAGCAAGGCGTCAATAGCGTCGGGCATGCCAAGTCGAGTCCTCAGAGCCCATCCCCCACAGCCCTATTACCACTTGTCGTGGCGACGCGCCGCCGTGACCACGTGCTCACCCATGTCCAGTCTCTCAAAGAAACCCATTCGTGCTATCCACACGGGGACAGATGCTATCCACACGGAGAAGAGAGCAGGCATCGGCTGGGAACACCTAATCAGGACCTTGCGGGACCCCACGATACCATGCCCCCCCAGCAGGGAGTGGCCCCGAGCCAGTGATAGCTGTAAGAGGCCACAGCATGGCTCATCCATCGGGTCTCAGATCTCAATGATCTAGAACCCAGCCGCATGCGAGCAGATTCCCATGCCTGACGTAGGTGCCGCTCGTTGACCACCTCCCAAGCGTGGGCGCTCGAAGGGCTTGTCACGCACCGAGTTCCATGGCCTCAACACCACCACAGCCAACCCGCCCAAGCCCACGTCTCCAGCGGCATGGCGCAACAAGGCACGCACGAAACGCCAGCCGTGCCGACTTGCTCCCATCGGACACATCGAACCGTTGCCTGCAGCACCGAATCCCCAATCCAATAGCGCCAACGCCTTGCACAGCGTACTCCAGGGGTCCTTCTTCAAACGTCTTGGCGGGGGGCCGCTAACACCCCCACGTGCTCCAGCGGCTGGCCCACGACCCCCGACGACATGGATCGCGGAAGTGCATCCGCCCCCCTTTCCACGTGAGGGCGAGAGGTCGTGCTGGACAGCAACGCCATCTTCAAACCCCCAATCCTGTGTCCAGGGCGTCGCGCTCCTCCAATTGTGTCGACGCAGGCTGGAAGGGGGAGGGGAGGGAAGGGGCCTGACGCGATGGGCAGGCTGGAACAAAATGTGGTGCTGCCCCGCGGCGATCCCCCCCCTCGCTCCAAGAGCTTGGGACGTCCCACCACCACCGGGCCCTTGAACCGGCGCGGGACTCAGTCGACGCCAGGCATTTCTTTTGGTTTCCTTTACGTCCAGGCTCAGCTCTCCCCAGTCGATCTTTCTGCAAAGCTATAGCAACAAGAGCTGCTGGATCGACAACGCGCGCGCACGAACCCCCTCGAGGCCAGTCGATGACACAGGTTCCGAGCCCTCGTGACCAAGGCCAGACGCGGAAATGGCTGTCGACGTGGAAGAGCTGATCATCACTCCCTTCAAAGAGGTGGTCGAACGAGGCCAAGATGCCGTGACCAACGCGCAGGCCGCCGAAGAGGACGACCCCGAGATGGGGACCCAGATGGCGCGCGCCGCCCAAGCCCTCGTCAAGGAAGGGGACCGCGCCTTGAAGAGGCTGCAGCCGATCTGGGACGCCCACGTTGACAAATTCGGTGATGCGTTCAAGGACGCCATTCGTGACAGTGGTGAGTCTTGCTTCCAGTTTCTGGACCGTCGAGATGCCCGCAAGAAGCTGACCGCGCGCAAAAGATGAAATCGCAGAGAAGCGGCGCGTCCTGGAGGACCTGCTGTATGACTTTGAGGACTACATCGAGCTCGATTCGTTCGACCTCGACAAGTTTGTCGAGCTGCAGGCGGCTACGAAATCTTTCGCACTGCATGCCTTGAACATCGTCAAACGCTTAAAAGTCGAAGCGCCAGTACCAACCCCTCCAACACCGAAATCACCAGTCCACACATTTCCGCCCCTGCCGCCCCTGCCGCCCTCACGATCAGGCACCCGAGCGAGTTCGCGGCCCACAACTCGCGGAGGAGCGGTCGACTCTCCGGCAGACGGCTTCCAGACCATCTCGCAGTTCCCTCCTCCGCCTCTCCCTGGGAGTACACAGGATGAAGCATCTGCCAATGGCAACACGAGGCATCGCAATTCAAGCGGAACCCGCCAGCAGCGACGTACGTCAGGACTGCAACGCGCCGGGACCACCAGCTCCCGCGCGTCGTCTGTTCAAGCAGCAGACTCCCAGGCGATGCCGCTTCGAAGGGTCGACTCGTGGACTACAGCCGTATCCACGAGGCAGCAGCAGAACGAGCCAACGGCTCAACACCACCCTCCACCGCAGCAAGCTCAACCATCGCCCATGGCCCAGGTCTTGCGAGCTGACGGCAAGTCATCCGGCCTCGATGTCCTCGGTGACGAATTCGACCGCGTTCGTATTGTTTCCGAACCTCGGAGACTGTCTCCTCCCGCCCCGTCATCCTCCCCCCGGATATCGGAATGGGTGACTGACCAGACGAGTGAGCCGCATCCGGGCGTGCGCCGTTATATCGCGGGCGACAGACCCCCTGAGCATGCCGGCATGGCCAAGGTCGCGACGCGCGTTAATGTTGAGCCTCCGGTGATCCACAGCCGAACGTATCGCAATGGCTACACGTATGGCTCGCCCGTGGACAATACCGGGTATACGTCTGCAACCTCCGTCTTCGACCCCACCAGCCCTTCGACGACGAACCGGACATCTCTCTTCTCAGAACCGAACACATCGTCTGCTGGGCCCTCTCCGTGTATCAATCCCAACAGTGAGCCCCGAGGCGCCTCGCACGGAACCTTTTACTCAGAAAGCGATCACATGGCACCGTTGATGCTTCCGCCCTTGTCCGAGCACGACGATGGCTTGATGCTTGCGGACGAGACGAGAACAGTGAGGTCAGAAACAAGTGGGACGCAGATTCGTACCATCTCGACAGGCGCAAGAGAGACGGCGTGTCAGATCGGACCAAAGAGCTCGTTCCACCAGCTCAAAGGATTTTGCGATGGCGCCGAGCTATTCAAGAAAAGCGAGCATGCACGCGGCATGAAACAGGCTTCCATATATGTGAGTTCTTCGATATGCGTGGCTCTCAAGCTCGGGGTGGCTGACAAGCTACGATGTAGGGCCAGCTTGTAGCAGTCGGCCGCTGCACCAGCTGCGAGTTCTATCTCGTGCACAGTGAGATGACACGCGATCTGGAGAGAGACTGTAAGCTGATCATTCATGTTCTAACGAGGGTCTTTTACTGATTATACTGCAGCTCGTGCAAACTTTATGAAATTTAATGTTGTGTACCGGCTTCGCTTCATGTTCAAGTCGCACATGACGACCAAGAACCTGACCGAAGTCAGATATGCCTGCCTCTTCTGTACACAGACTGGACACACCGTGAGACACGGTGACGCCACAGCCTTTGTCTCCCAGGAACAGCTCCTTCGTCATCTGTCGCAACATCCACAACCTTTGCCTGAGATTCCTGGAGTGACCGTACTGTACGGAAAGGTGGAGGCAGGCCACGAGCTCGAGGAGGACTACGACCTGCACTTTCCAGATCCGCCGGCACCCAGCCCAGTGCCTGAGACGGCATTAATCATGTTGCCAACCGCCACGGCGATCAAGAGTAACGTGAAGCGGTATGGCGAGGTAGCGCCAGTCGCACCGGACGGGACCGACGATGTGCTCAAATTCTTGATCGGCGCCCAGATTGTGGGGGTTGAGTTCCCTGAGGAATGGGGTGGAAAGTGGTGTAGAGGGTGGCATGATGGCGAAAAAAAGGCGTTTCCGTCGAAAATGGTAGACATCGAAGGCCCGAAACAAAGCGAGGTTTCGTTGAATGCGAACAGCAGGATTTCTGTTACCGCTCGGTGGAAATGGAATCCAAAGGATGGCGCACGAACCGGCTGGTTACCCCTTGAAAAAGGGGACGTTATTCAGAACGTCGGCTGTAAGTGGAATCCAATCGACGTTGTCTTCGACAGGCAAGCTGACTGTAAGGATATAGGGGTATACCAGGATCACTGGTGTTGGTCGGGAACGAACAGCAAGGGAAAGTACGGTGTATTCCCAGCGTCGCATGTCGACCCAAACTCGTTGAAGGAGGGGCGAGAACCAACGAGGAAACCGACCAGCAAGGGGCTCTTCAGTCGCAGACGAGTGAGCATCAGTACTGAGTCATCATATAGTGGCGAGCGATGAGAATATGAGAAGAGACAGAGACAGTGAACGGCACGTGCCACTGACTATGGGGGTAAGCGTCGAGGATTCAAGTGGTAAACATTCTGGTCCGAAGGACGAGATATAAAGTATGCACGTATTGCGGCAGGGCTCCGCGGCTCTAGCTACGATCGCGGGCCCCTCGCGGGGTCATCAGAGTAGGGTATCTGTCAATAGAATTAGCAGTGGGCACAATTATGCAGAAGGGGAAGAACCTGCTTACCATGGCGGTCGTTGACATCATTCTGCGTTTCTTCTCTCATTTCAGTGTGATAGCAGCCTCCAGGCAGCTCACTTTCCGTACTCGGCTCTCGTCTCCTCCAAACTCATCACCCTCCATCACAACGTCATCCACGGTGGCGACTGTCCGTGTCCTCACTTGTACCTGACAGTCTGGCTGTTGTTCGAACCAGCTGGCCACGCTCAGGGTCTTCTCAATCGCCTTTCCTGTGCCCAGTACCAACACCTCGCAATTGCTTTCGCCCACAGTGCTGGTATCTCGATTCAGGAGATTGACACGTTGGGCAAGACTCAGTTTCTTGGTAGATGGAGCCCGGTCTTGAAGCGACCGATCCAGTTGCTTCCGCACACGTTTGACGACGGACATGAACGGTGTCGATGACGAAACATAGATGAGGCGTTCATTGGACGAGGCCGGTTGTTGGCGGCGGGGAATCGCACGCTTCTGGATCTTGGAGCCTGGAGAGGTCAGTCATGTCAAGGGTCTCCAGTCAAGGGAGCTTGCTTACCTTCGGCGAGTCGTGGCAGCTTCTCATGACGGTAAGGCAGCTGGATGGTGCTGGCCGTTTTGCGGCCAGATTCTGGTAGGTTTGGCGCCATGGTAGGCAGCGGTATATGTTGGTCGTGGTCTGGATGTATAGTGATTGGTTCGCATGCGAAAATTATCCTCGTCTCCAAGTTACAGGAGCAGCAGGGATATTTTCGGCAGCCTGGGCGTATTTTGTTTACTTGTTGTTTTAAGATCGATCTTGGAAGAAAGCCTTGAGGGTGTGTGCACGAAGCAGGGTGTACTGTGATTGCGGTGGCTTCTGAAGGCAAAAATGAAGTGACGGTGAGATGATAGTATCATACATCTGTCAGTCTCCACCAGTCCAAGCCGCCAGGTGTCGCACCTGCCCAACAGCCAGAAGCAGCCGTGCCTGAAGAATGACAAGGGCAGGTGCAGGCAGGTGGCCCCTGCGGCTCCAGCAGTGGGTCCACCAGGCCCCGCTAAAGCCAGGATGACGATGGCCGCCCTGTCAGCGGGCACGCGCGCTGATGCTGGCTGGAGCTTGACCTAGAGACATCCACGTCGCAACTCGCAACCCCGGCGCATGGTATCGCGAGCCACAACAACGGTTCTTTCAGCTGTCGAACCCAGCATGGCTGCCTGCGCGACACACAAGGCCACCACTCCTCAGCACACATAGCCATCATGTCCATTGACATCTGGCCACCTGTCTCTCCTGAAGAGCTCAAGGTGAAAAAGGAGCAGTCCCATGTGAGTGTGTCGACATCTTTGCCATGCCTCCTTCAGCGAGCTCCTTCAGCGAGCTCCTTCAGCGAGCTCCTTCAGCGACCCTGCCGTGTCCCAAGCCCCATCATGCCTCGTTTCCAGACACATTCCTCGCGCCGCAGACTTTCCACGACATCTGTCGATTCCATGGTGCTAATAGAGATTTCCACCGGCTGCAAGGCCCGCGAGTTAGCATGGATCCTCGAGGAGACCCGCGCCGTCATGACCGAGCTCAAGCATGGTCTTGACGGCTGTTACGCGCTCCTCGCTCCCATCGACCCCGGAAGCACTCTTGTCCTCAGCACGCACCGCAATGAGAAAGTCAAGGGACACATCACACGAGTCGGGACGAGGATAGTGAAAGGAGTAAGCTCATCTCATCCATCCGAGTGCCAACCCCCTGGACGCATGAGGAACCATGGCGTTGACACTGTCCTCCCCTGCGCCAGACCATCCACCTCCAGCTGCGGACGCTCCCGACCCAGAGCGTCGCCCTCGACCCCCAGAACCCGATCCACATCCCCTCGCTCGAAGCGCTCGGCACCCACCTCTCCGAATCCGTCAAGCTCCTCGCCCTCGCCCTCGACTCGCCGCCCTCGCCCCGCCCCATAGCCGACCACCTCCGCGCCCTCTCCATCTCCCTCGCCGCCTCGACCGCCCTCTTGCGCGGCCCGCCCCTCGAATCCCCCGACCCCTCGTGGCAGCACGCCTCCTGGCCCCAGGCGCACTTTGCCCCGCCGCTCCCGCCCAACATCGCCTTCCACCTCTTCCTGCAGGAGGCCACCCTCGTGCTGGCGCTGCGCGCCCTCGAGCCCGCCGACGCCCCGCAGCACTTTGGCCTCAAGCTCGGCCTCGCCCTCGGGACCTATCGCCGCCTCGAGCACGACGAGATGGACCACGTCTATCCGTTTCGCTACAGCCGCCTCACGGCTGGCGGTTCGCGCCACGTCCACCAAGGGGCGTCCGTCAAGCGTCGGCCCACCGGGTTTCACGAGGCAGATGATGATCTCGGCCCCGGAAGCGGCGCCGTCGACGTCTACGTGCGCGAGAAGGTGCGGGTTGAGACGGCGGATCCGAGCCTGCTGAGCCTGTATGCCAAGCTCCTCGCGCTGGGCAACACGCTGGCGCAGGCGAGGAGGAATCTAGCCGCCGTCATGGGCGAGGAACTAGATGACTGAGGTGTGGTTGCCAGAGCTGCAGGGATGGATGTAAGAATAGAAAATGGTTCGTGGTGTTGGGATACCCTAGGATTGTCAAACACTACGGGGTGGGGGTTTGGCCTCAAGGTAATTTTGCACGAAGAAGATGAAACGAAACAAGCAGGCACACAAGAGGATTTTCAGCGATTGCCGCCTGCATCAATTCTGCGTGATCTCTGGCAATCTCGCCGCTTCGCCCGCCTGCCGTAGCAAGGTATACGTACAAATGGCTCTCCGATGATCCGTACAACTCCCACGAAGAAAAAGACAGGAAAAAAAACAGAAACAGGAAACCATAGCAAGAAGGGGTGACGCTCCTTGCCCGTCGAGGTGGTCTTGTAGCAGAGTAGCAAAAGCTAGTTTATTGCACTGGCGACCAGGGCATGGGCGTCAGGATCCTCGACTCCATCTTCTGGATGAGGGGCACCGTCTTGTGGACCGTCTCGCTCCATCCCTCAATCTGCCAGCTCTGCTCGCGACGGATCTTGCGCTCCTCCAGGTTGGCAAACTGCCAGAGGTGGTGGACGGTGTTGAGGTCGCCAATCTGGACGAACCAGGCGCCGACGCCCTCCATGACCTCGCGGCGGGCCTTGAGGCCGCGCCTCCAGTGCGTCTCCCACTCGAGCAGGTTGCCCGGGTGCAGGGTGTACGAGCGCAGCTCAAAGATGCCGCCGAGCTTGCGCGGGGGCGTCGTGGGCCAGAATGAGAACTCCTGCATGAGGGAGTTCTTCCTGGAGTGGATGAGGCTGCGGAGCTTCTTTTCAAAGTCGGCGTACTCGGGGTGATTGGCGATGTTGTGGATCGACTCGTGGTACCCCTGGTATCGCTGGTACTCCCAGATGTGGACTGACATGTTAGTTCATTCAACCATAGACCTCCTGCGGCTGCAGCCAGTGCAGGTGCGGGTGGGCGTGTACTCACCAAAGGTGTTGGTGTCGCCAATCTCGGTTCTCCAGCTTCCCACGAGGTGGACCTTGTTCTCGGGCAGAGCGGCCATCTTGGGGTACCAATTGCTGATGAGGTCGACGTACTCCTCGAGCCTGTCCTGCTTGACCTCGTGGAAGGAGATGGTGTGGACATATTTGCCGCGGGCAAGGACCTGGCTGAAGCTCGCCTCGAGCTGGGCCTCGAGCTCGCGTCCTTCCTTGGTCCCATAGATGAGGTTCGTTAGCGGGCCGGCCTTCTTGGTAGGCTCTTTGGCGTCGGCCTTGGATCCTGCAGAAGAGGCACTCAGTGAGCCGAGTTTCTCGGCGTCGGCGGGGGACAGGGAGGAGGAGGGGGGAGGGGGAGAGGAACGATGAGCCCACGCACTTGCTTCCCTCTGCTTCTGCTGGTCGACCAACTGCTCTCGGAATGCCTGCTGCCTCTTGTTGAATTCTTCGACGCTCTGGGGCGAAGCGCTGATGTCGGCCATGCCGGGCGTCTTGGTACATGGCTGGCCAGTGGTGGAGAAGGCGGCTCGCAGCGCCGTGCGGGGGGTCGCTGCGCCGGCAGCTGCGCGCACCAAACGCTGGCTCAGCATGGTGAAGGTGAGGGGGGGGGGGTGTGACGGAGGGAAGGGAAGCGGTTGCTGGTGGTGTTGATGGTGTTGCTGAGGTCAAAGTGGCAGAAGCAATAGAAGGTCGTCGCGCCAGCAAGGAGGAGGCGGCTGAATGGTTTGATCAACGCACGGGAGTGCGCACGGTAGATTGTGACCGAAGCGTCGAGCTATATTGAGATCCCGAGGTGCAGCAGGTAGAGAGGCAGGGCGGCGGAAAGCAGGCAGGTACTTCCGAGAGAGAGAGAGAGAGCAGGGACCGTGTCGTGCTGTTTGGCAGCGTTTCACAGGCAGAAGCGGGAAGCAAGCTGTTGCTGGTCAGATAGCCGCGCCGTGGGAGTGCAGCTTCAAGGGGTAATTGGATGGTGGTTTGGGATGCTGAGCAATGAGTGATCTCCTATTGCAGTTCACCCCGCACTTGGAGTAAGGGTAATTGATTGGAAGGTCGGCCCAGGGCAGGTGATGCTGGCAGGCAAAAGGGGATGGATGTGCAGGATGGTGGTGGTGTGGTGTGCGTCGTGTGGGTGACAGTGTGTGACGGACAAAGGGAGGGGGGAAAGGTGTGGCCGTTACTCTCCCGTTGTACAGGTGCTGGATCTGGGGAAAGCTGGGCTTCGGGGGGGGGGGCGGCTCACCCACGGCAGAAGCAACGGGGGACAGCTCATGTGGGTCGGAGCCCAGAACTGGCTCGTCTCGCCTGAGGACCAGTGCGGAGAAGCTGGGCATGATGTCACCTGACGGAGAAATCAAGCGCCGTCTGCAGCACGTGACCATGGGCTTATCATCCACGAGGCTTATCGACCAAAATGTCCAGTCAGCACAGTGAGGAACTCCTGCCTGAGGCTGCCTGACCGGCTAGCGGCTCAACCCGACGACAGACGAGGCATCGGAGGAAAAAGGCTCTCTCTTGATAGCTTCACCTCGGACCCTTGAATCAACCACCCTCGAACGCTAATCCCCCACCAACCCAACGCCTCCCCCACAAATCGTCAAGATGCTCTTCGGTGCTACCCCCCTCAAGAAGTTCCCGGCGCCCGTTCGTACGTCAATCGCTGCTGCTGCATCCGCTCGCGCCTCATCCGTACTGACCCGAATGTAGTGAGGCCCATGGCTCCCTTCTACGCCGCTGGTACGATTGCCGACTCCTGACCCCCGAACCTCGACACAAAAAACTGCGAAACGGCAACAGAGGACAGACTCGCGACGAATTCGGCATGCTGACACACACGACAGGCCTCATCATCGCCTACGGCATCAACTCTGCCCAGAACGCCATGATGGCTTGTATGTCCACCAAGAGCCATTGCCTCCCTACGAAGCACGTGGGAACTGACAGCGCATTGCAGCCGACGAGTGGAAGAAGGATGCCCGCAACCCTGCCGTCAAGGCCGGTCACTAAATCGATCGTCGATCGGGACGGGGTGCCAAGGAGATGGAAGTCGTATGAACAGAGGCTAGTTCGGCAAGGAAACAAACATGCATCGAACGACCACCGACGACGTGCTAGAGGACGATTGTATCATAGACCGGCGACACGCATTAATTGAGTTGTTACCGATTTGACACCCACACCTTCATTCATACGAGTACGCGACGCTACCTTAAGGCATCATGAAGCAATGGCTGTTTGTCGACGACCACGCACATCCCCCAACAGAAATGTAATGACCACCGTGACACTCTGAACCATGGAGTGTGGCCGGGGTCATTACTGAGGCCTTACACTACGGCGTGGCATTTGTTCTCCGAGGTAGTCCTCATGATCCTTCGAGTGATCAGAGTGAAGTATCGTAATCACGTGACGTCCGCAAGCCGCAATGTGTATACTGCATCTCGCGAATCTTCCATTCGAAAGTTTAATGACAGCCGCGACTGATTCGTAGATACGTGGATTACTTGATGCAGTCAAGACAGACTTGTATTACGCTTCAAATCGGTATGAATCATTCGGCGGCTTTGCATGTCCCGAATGTGATCGAATCCCACGACGCCCTTACAGTGACAATTGCATGCTAGATCCACTTAATGAGGCGCTCTTCAACTCAACAACCGCACCACATGCGATCTCTCCGATTGTCCAGGCACCCGGCTCTACGACGTCCGACACCTCCAGGTACACGTATATTGCCAATTTACCCGTCTAGATCATACGTGGGGCTCTGTCGATTTATTCCTCTCACCACAGTTGCACCCATGTCTACGGCAACAATCCCAGTGCCTAACGGCACGGCTGATAAGAAACCAAGAGTCAGCACCAAGAAGGAATTCAAGATTCTCATGCTACATGGTAAGCTATGCGCATCCAGCGTTCTCCATCTCCCATTCTAGCAAGTGCCTCCCATCATAGAATGTGTGATGAAACGCAGCCCACCAACGAAAACACGACCAGTCGCAAAACTCATCTTCATCTTACCGCCCCTTGGAAACCTCGACTAACACGCGCCAGGCTACACGCAATCGGGACCCCTCTTCCGCTCCAAGACGCGCGCGCTCGAGAAGCTCCTAGCCAAGGCTCTCACGCCCCTGAACCTGACCCTGAACTGCATCTACCCCACCGCGCCAATCAAGCTCAACCCCGCCGACATCCCCGGCTACCAGCCGCCGGCGGACGACGCCGAGGACGTGCCGGCGCCGGACTCGTGGGCCTGGTTCCGCCGCCGCGACAATCCGTCAGACGCCGACAGGCCGTCCTACGTCGGCCTCGACGAGGGCATGTCGGCCATAGCCTCGACGCTCCGCTCGTCCGGCCCCGTCGATGCCGTCCTCGGCTTCAGCCAGGGCGGCGCCGTCGCCGCTCTCGTCGCCGCCGCCCTGGAGACGCCGCATCGTGCGGTCCCCGCCGACCAGGCTGCCTGGGTGACGGCCCTGCGCGAGGCCAACGACGGTCGCGGCCTGCGGTTCGCGGCCGTGTACTCGGGCTTCTTCGCCGTGGACGAATCGCTGGCCTGGTGCTTTGAGCCCAAGATCCGGACGCCGACCATCCAGTTCATCGGCAGCCTCGACACGGTCGTCGACGAGGGCCGCAGCCGGGCGCTGGTCGACCGCTGCGAGGAGGCGGCGGTCGTGGTCCACCCAGGCGGCCACTATGTGCCCATCTCGAAGGAGTGGGCCATGGCGCTGGCGGGGTACGTCAAGCACCATGCGCAGGACCTAGAGGCTGCCAAGATGTAGGGGAGTCCGTCAGTGCATAGCACGCAACATAGACACTAGATGATCGCAAGGTAGACATCAAGGTTACATGCCCCATCTCGACAGGGTTGATATTCTATATTCTACAGTGACAAGTCTCCAGACGAGTCCGCCGTCCGCGGTTATTCTCGTCACAATCACAGAGTCGCTTCGCCTCCCAGCCCATTTGTTAGCCGATCCTCCAAAGCAGACACGTGTAGCCGTTCCCCGAGCGTCTGAAGACTGACACACTGTCAGACTGGCTTAGCGTGCCTTCGCGGCCGTCTTGCCCTTGCTTGACTTGGACGTTGGCTGGATGCGCGCCATCATCTCCTCCTTGGTGATGAGGTGGTCGATCCTCTCCAACAGACCGAGAAGGCTCTTCATGTTGCCGCTCCACTCGTTCAGGACGTCATCGGCATCTCTGGGCTTGGCGAAGCTGACGATGCGCGCTGGTCGATCAATCTTGGCGTATACCGTCTTGGAGGTGACCAGGTCACTGATGTACTTCTCCGTCTCATCTTCGGTCAGATCCAACAGCTGAGTGAGACGGCTCATCTGGATGCGAGTGTAATACTTGGCCACAACGCGGACGTTGTGCTCAATGACACGCTTGCGAAGATCTTCCCAGCGCTGGTGCGCCTTCTCATCCGCAGACTGACCGGCCTGGGCGTCGAAAACGTCGGTCTGGCAGAGATCAGGGCCGAACCTCTTGGCCACTTCGGGCCACCTCATAAGCTCATGAACTGTGAAGAGCTTCAAAATCTCCTCCTCGACGGGCACCTGGGCATTGCGGGTGTCACGCAGAATTCGGTGCAGGAGGTCATGCTGCTCGTTGTCGTGGGGTGCGAGGATAACAAAGTAAATGATGCGCTGGAGCACCTAGAAACAGAATTAGCGATGCATAGAACAGGCGGAACTCGCATACGTACCGGGTGCAGCTTGGCAGGGTCGTTCTCGACAGCCTCCGTGTCCAGGACTTGTCGGTAGTTCTTGCAAACCTCGAGGTACTTGTTGTCGTGCTTCGCCAGGATGATCTGCTGCTCGTAGTATCGCAGCTTTAGGTCTGTTGTGTCATCCACCTTTTCTTCTGGCACCTCTTCACCACGAAGTCTCTTCTTCTCGCGCTCCTTCTGCTCCTTCTCCAGCTGCTCGGGTGTCTTCTTCGGTTTCCTGGACAGATACCGGGTGCTGATCTTCCTGCTCAGAATGCCGGCCTGGGTCCAATCTCCGCTCTCGATGCACAAGGCGACCTGCGCAAGAATGAACTCTGTCTTTTCTCTCCGGTCCATGGAACCAAACGTTTCCACCTGCAGTTCGCACAGAATCTCTGTCGCAGCCTTGAGGTCGCCCTGTTCCTTCTTGATATCGGACAGAATCTTGGTGACGCGCGCGCGCTCAACTTCGACGAAGATCTTGCCCTCGGTGACAGTTCGTAGAGTCTCAATGAGCGACAGCTTGATTTTGAGGTCTGGCGTCTCGTCGAGGAAGCCAACAACGGTCTGCACCATCTTGGTGATGGCCTGCTTCAGCTGACTGTGCTTCTTCGACAAGACGAGCACCTGCTCGTTGAGAAGAGACCAGTTCTTCGCATTCTTGCAGATTGTGACGATGGCGACCAGCACGCGAGACGTGGAGGCGAGATCTGAAGCCTGGGGGTTGGTCAGCAATATGGTCGGTGTTGGCATGACGTCGACAAACGCACTTGACGAGTTTGCTTCTCGAGCACGGCAAGACGCTCGACAGCGGCCTGGATGTCGCTCTACAATTCCAAAGTTAGCGGCGGTCCTGCTGCTGCGTTCGTGGGCTGGCGCACCGATGCGAGCTGCTCCGCTTCGGGGATCTGCTTGTCGGCCTCCTTCGAGAAGTCCTTCTCGGGCTTGAGGGCTCCTTCCGACATGATGGCGGGTATTGGTGGTTTTCGTGACGCGATATATCTTCTGTCGGGAAGTGGGGAGTTGAGCAGATGTCGAGGAAACGAGGTGTTGGTGGTTGATGTTGCAAGGGTCGTTGGTGGTGATCGTTGTTTGGCGGCGACCTGGAGCTTCTCTGTTCGAAGCCCGCCCGGGCTAGGTACCAGGTAGCTCACGCAACATGGTCGTGCCTGCCGGCGGCGGGCCCACTATTGCGCATGGTGACGGCAAAGCGTTTGGCCGGCCGCCGTGGTGTGCTGACGTAATGGGACATCAACTCAGGATCATGACTTTCGGTTGAGGCTAGCACCATTCAGGTCCAGATTCCAAATCCTGGGAATCAACGTGTTCCCCGTCAGGCTTAAGTAATTGTTTACCGCCAGTCCGTAAAGCTACAAAGCTACGCACAGGAATGGCATGCCGTGCCTCGTGAAGCATTGAATCACATGAGTATGAGTCTGGGTCTGTGGTCGGAATACTGAATACATGACACCGTAAAACATCCGGGAAACTCGATTGACTTGACGAGGCCTATTTGCAATGCTCGCGCGTCCCGTTTAGCGCATTGACGATAGACAATGTCTAGCCACATCCTGTTCGGCAACGTCTCATCAAAGGCATTATACACTGTCCTCGCTTCAAGGCCTGGCCCGGCGCTGAGAATATACGAAGCCTCCAAAGCCTAGTCTACTCACGACGGAGCATAACGGGCGCGCAGGAAAATTCATGTCATGGGTTTGTTTTGTCATTTGTCCATTACTAGGGAGACTGTAGACATTTCAAGCCTGCCCCTCATATGTACCACTACAACTAAATATACAGCCACTGTGAACATGGCACTACCCGCAACCTTTCTATCCGAAATTCAACGCTTAAGCCTGGGCGGGAGCATCAGGCAGGCTGTCGATGACAATAGTGGTGGGGTTCTGCTGCTGGCAGATAAAGTCACCAAGGCCGCCAGCACGGCAGTAGGTGAAGATCTCGCCAGTACCGTAAAAGCCGAAACTGTCCAAGGATGTCAGTCACATGATTTCGCAAATGAGATTTCTCCTCGCGTTCAAGGGGATGGTCAACTTACGCAAGGCCGAGCTCGTGGTACAGGCGCAGGGCGAACTCAAACTCCTCACCAGGGTACAGGGCGAAGCGGTACTTGGACTCGCCGCAGGTGATGACCTCGGAAGGCAGGCCGGGGTTCTCGGCCTCGCAGAGAAGGCCGTCGGCGTCCTCGCCGCTCAGCTTGAAGTTGACGTACTTGATGGTGCCGTCCTCGCCCTTGCGGACGTTGAAGTCGGCAATGTCGATGTTCTCGTACGTGTTGGGGTCGGGAGGAGCACCAGTGGAGCCGGGAGACGCGGGGGCCGCGAGGGCAGAGGCGCCAAAGAGGGCGGCGGCGGCGGCAAGGGTGAACTGCATTTTGATGTTGGGTGAGGTTGAAGGTTTGAGGGTTTGTGTGAAAGATTGGTGATTGTGTGAAGTCTCAAGGATGCTCTGGTGTGATTCGGTGTGTTGATCTGGTTCCAAATCTCTAGCAGAGACGGGCAATGCGGTCTCTTTATACTACATCTCGAGCCTCGATACGAATGCCCAACGTCACAAGCCTCCGACGCATCCTGGAGGTCGACGTCACCAACACTCGACAGGCGGGGACGGCAGTGTGGATCGCAGGTCGGGCTACGTGCCGGACCTTCTCCAGATTTCCGTCTCTTGGCCACCGATACGAGGCGCCCGAAGCAGTCTTGGCCCCGGCAAGCAACGGGTGCGCTAAGATACGTAGCATGCCTAGACGCAGGGTCCTATGCCCACGGCAAACCATTGTGTGCTTTTCTACTCTCGGCAGACCGCCTCCTGCTGCGATCACCAGCTCGCAATCTCGTATGAGTTCCTCACCTGGGCTTCCACTGGAAAAACACCTAGGTCAGCGGCAGCCACGGCCGCTGCCCAGCCATGCGACCCTCACTGCCGTTGCATTGCTGGACGATAGTGGTGGCGTCGTGGACGATCTTCTCGTATCGCCCCGGGACAGGGTCCTTTCTCCGATGTGGGGAGCGCGCTATGCAGGGCTGCTGATCAGGTCAATTGCGAGCAAGCCGGCATTCCAATGTCTTGCCAGAGGGGTGTATGTGGGAAATGCTCCACTGCCAACACTGCATTTCGCCCCGTGCGGCAACAGCCTTGCTCGTGTCCCTCATCCATACTGACACGGAGGCCTGACGTCGTTGCAAACCTCGGGCAAGCTGAGAGCTGGGCAGCCAATGATGGAAGCCAAGTCGGACAGGCCCACCATGACTCGGGCCGCCATTTTCATCTCTCTCCCTCTCTCTCGCACCAGTGGCAACGTGTCGGCTCCGAACCGCCCGGCCGTTCGCTTTCTCCGTTCGTCCAACGTCCTTGGGTCAGGCCTCGTCGTACATGATTGCTGCGCTTCTTCTCGTAGCGGTCAGGGCATTGCTATTTCGAGAGCATTATGCAATAGGTAGAGTGGCGGCCCTCCCGGGACCCTTGCCCATTCCTGTACTCTAGCGTTGTTTTTATGTGTTAGCTGTCCAGATTTGTCGTCATTGTCATCGAGAGTTGGCCAAAAGAGGGTCCTGTGCTGGCTCCAGATTTCCGAAAGCGAACCTCTGGACTGATTCAGGCAACACCCTCTTCAGCCCAAGATCACCTTGGCACTAACTTCTCTCTAACATCATTATCATTACGAGGCTGTGTTTTGTCGATCAACAGATGGGTTTCATTTGGTCGCTTCTCCTTGGACAAATGTTACGTTACCCCTGGCGCCTAAGACATCAAGCCGGCTTGAAAGTCAGAATCGGAACGAGCCTCACCACGTTGATTGTTCGGAGAGCACGCCCATTTTAAACAAAAATGATACATAGCCAAATAATTACACCAACGAAGCAGGAATTACGAACAGTCAGGCGTGGGTGTTCTCTGCTTCAGAGTCTGGATGCAGGTGAATGACGATTGTAAATGAGTGGAATTGAGCTACTGCCCGAAGGTGAACACAGCCACGCATCAAGCACCTCCAAAGTGCACACGTGCAAGGCAAGTCTAGTGCGGCTACGGTGAGGGGAGGTTCCTCAACGTGTTCCCCAGAGGCACTTTCAGTATACATTCGCCTTTGCAATGCAATCCAATACTCTCGCGCATTTTGCATTTCTTGATAGTAGCTTCTCTTTCTTTGCTATCTCGCTGTCACTCTGCATTTGGGTGCTGTCTTTACTCCGGTTATCCAACACTTTCTCTGCTTATCTCATGATTTCGCAGTATACCCACGCGTCAACACACTCTTCGCATGGTAGAGCAGGTTGCCCCGTGATCGCTTTGCCTACTACAAGTCTATGAGAACATCACAACACTCTCTCCAGCGACGATTCACGAGTTGCGGATGTGGCTCTGGCTAGTGAGGACTGATTGACTACCGTGACTACTAGAGTCCAAAGCTTCTACCCGATGCCCGTTGCCGGGCCTCGAGCCCCAAGCAAGAGGTATTGCCCTCTTCCACTCTAAGCAAGATACTTGAGAAGACTGATATGAAAACCAATACCATCATGTGCTTCAAGCCAAGAGGCCCCCGCATTAGGTAATGACTGAGGTACGCAGCAAAAGATGGGTTACGTCGTTACTCGAAGTTGGCCTTAATCAAGCGGGTGATTTGCTCAACAGTCTCCTTTCGAATCTTGGCCTTGGCATCCTTCGCCTCGGTCGGCTTGGCTGTCGAGACAGGCTTGGAAGTGGGGTTCTTGAACGAGATCATCTTCCTGACAGGCTTGGAGACGTATCTGGGGCTTGGTGTTTTCTTCTTCACGATGATCAGCAGAAGCTTTCAGGTCAATAGGGTGATACTGCTTACATACCAAGGCCTCACCCTTCGCCTCGTACTGCTCATTTTCAGGGCTGAGGCCACGGCGGACGTTCCTGGTGGGAAATCCGAAGGGCACGCCGACCCTGCGATCACCAACGGGGACAGCCTGAGGGGCGGCCATGATGGGGGCCGGAGCGGGCTGGGGCACGTAGGCCGGCTGAACCGGCTGGGCTGGCTGGTAGACGGGCGCGACCGGAGCGGGCTGGTAAGCAGGCATGGGCTGAGGAACGTTGACGTAGCGGTTGACGCCAGGGGGGGTGACATCGCCGTCGTCGTTAGCCTTGGCAGCCTTGCGGTCCTTTTCCTCGCGTTCCTTCTGCCACAGGTACTCGCGCTCGTCCTCGGCATCGCGCTCAGCCTGCTTGGCGGCAGCCTCGTCAGCCTCGCGCTGCTTGCGCTCGAGATAGAGGCGGTCCAGGCGCTGCGACTCCTCGAGGATCTTGCGCTCCTCCTCCTTTTCCTTCTTTCGGGCGTCGGCGAGGGCTTTCTTGACCCAGGAGGTGACGTCCTTCTCCTGTTGCTTGTTGATCTTCTGGAGGCGCTTCTTCTCGGCGAGCTCGCCGGCGAGCTTCTGGGCCTTTGCGGCGTCCTTTGCGGCATCCTCGGTGGCCTTGCGCTGCTGGTACGCGGCCTCCTTGGCCTCGACGGCCTGCTGTGCCTCAAGGGCGACACGGTCAGCCTCCTGTTTCTCGGCGATCTCGCGTTGCTTGGCTTCTTTCTCGGTGGCAACCTCGATGGCGTTGGCCTCTGCCATGGCGTCCTTGATCCATCTGTTGACTTCTGCCTTGCTGGCGGCGGGTGTGGCGGGTGCGGCGGGTGCGGCGGGTCTCGGAGCAGGCTCGGTCGACTTGATGACGCCGGGAACGTCGTCGTACACAGAATCTTCGGCGCCGGAACCGACACGAGGCCCAGCCTTGATGATCTTGCCCGTACTTGGCACTTTGTTGCCGGCGTTGACGGAGCCAAGGATGGCGCAGGCCGTGATGATACCAGTAGCGAAACGCATTTTGAGGTTTGCTTGGGAGAGATGGGAGCTGCGGGTGGGTGTACGTGTTCGTGTCAGTGAAGTTGAAGTTGGACGATTTCGAGTGTCGATGAGGAATGCTGAGTTCCTGGAAATATGAGACCTTCTCTCAGAGGCTTCGCTCTTATATAGATTCCCAGTGAGCTCAAATCACTCGGTTTTCCTTGGCCAGAAAGGTCCCCCAAATCAAGTTGTTAACCTTTATAGGCACATGATGGAACTTTTTGAAGGCCTACAGGGTGTGAGGACCTTTATATGATTTTGAGACGTCAAGGTTCTGTACAGTCTTCTCTCACACGAGTGCTTCAACTTTCAAAATTTAAGCCCTGGATGAAGGGTGCCACACTCTTTCGCCTCGCGTCTGACGCCTCCCATGCATCGTTTCAAGCCACCAGTCAGACTTGGTTTTGCAGTCCATGATCGCACGTTGCTTTACCTTTGGCAATAAATGCATGTATTTAGACACGTGCTGGGACCGAAAGTGATATAGACTTCCTCTCAAGCCTAGCCATGCTTCAGGTTGGGTGACTTTCGAGGGTTTGAGCCTGAATAGAGACCATTCACGTCTAGAAATGTGTCTGCGATGTAAGGTACGTTCGTGAAAGTGGAACGATGGATGGCGACCGAACCCAAAGGCAGACTCAGATGTGGACATGGGGCGAGATATTGTTTCGAAAGGTCTTGAATGACGTGACGTCGACTCTCCAGGTCCCAAGGCTTCTTCAACTTGATCATGTGAAGCAAGGCAAGTCGAGCAACAATTAAGCGTATCTATGATATATGGTCACACCTTGATGAACATGAGGCATAGCAAAGCCAATCATAATTGACATGTCCGTATTATGAAGAGACCAGCAACAGCCAAGACAGCAAGCTTCAACTGGAAGCGTTTTCAGCATCAGTAATCACGTTTTCCTCCAGATAGTCAAGACCACACCACGAAACCGATTTGTTTAGTCAGCACCTCGAACATATCATGAAGTCCATCTCCGGCCTCGAAACGAGCAGAGCAAGATCTTTGCAGGGCAGCCTCCATTCGTCAATACCGCTGACAGCAAGGGAAGATGCCAACCTTGTTGGCCCCATCACGCCACGCGAGGTACCCAGGGTTCAGATCATGGCTGCCAGCCCCGCAGAAGTTCGCCAGAGGCGCTCACGTCGAGTCTCAGCCACCTTTCTGTTGACTACGATGCTCGACGAACTTAAAGCGGTAAATGGCGACCCTTGAAACGTCGTTCTTAATCGAATACGCTTTGACGATGTCGCCATCGAGTGACTTTGGCGCATGATGCTGTAAATCGTGTGCCATGGTCCAAGTTGATTAAGGGATGATACTACGTTGGTGGGCAAAATCCGAGATACGATGGCCCAAAGGCAGCGGCCCATTGTCGTTCGCTGGCTGCCAGCCGCCAGCTGTCCGCGGGCATAATTGGAGGCCTTTCAATCATACACTTTAAATAGCCGCAGGTAGAACATTCAACATGAGACATAAATTCCATTGACCAGCCTGACTATCTCGAGCGAGGACTTGTAAAAAACCACGCCAGCTCGAAGGAAGAAAACCGCAAATCAGATAACAGAACGACAGAGCTTCCGGAGTCCGGCCTCTCCACGACGAGAGACGAAACAAGCGAGATGTTCTGTGAAGAAGTGAAATGGTTCAAGACGCGAGCAAACCGCTCGATCAAGTTCAGAGTTTTTTCTCCGCTCGCCAATTTCCCCTGTACCAGTACCTTTCCACGCCAAAAACAAACAAAATCCCGTAATGCAATACTCATCACGTGCAACATCTCCTTTGAACTTCATAGCCCGTTGCTCGTCACGCGAGTGCTGCAAGGTGCAGGTTTGGTGGCGTCGTCGAAGGAAAGAAGCCTGCCATTCTTTCGGCGGCCCGTGCGCAATTGTGCGAGAAGACCACCCTTTCCAAGGGGTAAGGGTGGATTCAAAGGGGAACGCTGTCGGCGATCCTGATAAAGTACAGCGGAAGAAGCGAATGGAAGAAAAATATGCTTCGGCCAATAAGTTGGATTCCCCGTTCCGCCTACGCCTGCTACCCAGAGTTGTCTCGCGAACAGAAATTCCAGATATGCAGCGAACTACTAGATAACAGACGTTCGCCTGTGCGGTGGGCGAAGGAGGTCGCCATCATGGCCTGACATAACATTGCGCTTAGGCAGTGACGGTCGGCGCGTTGCCGGGGGGCAGCACGTTCTTAGCAAAAGCACCCTGCATGTTGCCTGGAAACGAATTAGTATTGTTACTGGTCCGAGAAGGAGCATATATCTGCCAACTTACCAGCAGGGAAGTAGTTGCAGACGGTGTACCAGACGCCCATGTTGGGGTCCATGGTGCCCTTCTCGCAGAAGTGGACAGCACAGCCGAGGGTGGTAGTGTCAACCCAGACGACCTGGGAGTAATGGCCCCACTCCATGAAGTTGGACATGTCGGGCTCACCACCGTAGAAGTTGGGCGAGTACAGGTTCAGCTCGCCGTTGTACCACATGTTGGTGGTAGCCTGGGAGACAGCCTTCGCGGCACCGAGCGAGTCGCCATCAGTGGCGCCCCACATGGCGAGGTTCTGGCCGTAGCCACCGCCACCAGGAGTCCTGCGTCATGTTAGTATCATCTTCTGCCAGATAGTAATGTATGGGAGGTTACTAACAGGTCGTGCTCGAAGACACAAGTCTGCGCGGTCTGCAGGGCGTAACCGGCGTAGTCGGAACCCCACTGCAGGGCAGGGGCAGAGTTGTTCTGACGGTGAATGTTGTGGGCCTCGAGAGCGGCGCTCTGCATGTCATTGCCAGTGGGGGCAGGAGCGGTCGTCTTGGGGGTCTCCTTGGGCTTCTCGGCCTCGGGCTCAGGCTGTGGCTCAGGAGCAGGCTCGGGGGCCGGAGCGGGCTCGGGCTGGGGCTCAGGAGTAGGCTCGGCCTTGATGGTGGAGAAGACGGGAGCGGGGGCTTGCTCAGGCTTCTTGGGCTTCTCAGGGAAGAAGTTGCCCGGGGTGGGAGTGGGTGCCTGGGGAAGACCGGCGGTGACGGTGACAGTAACGTAGTCGATGTCCCAAACGGTCTCCATGGCGCGCTTGTCGATGGCAACACCGAGGGCCATGGCGGCGCTGGCGACAGCGAGAACGACAGAGGACTTCATTTTGGTGGAGGATGAAGTTGATCTAATTTTTTTGTTGTTAGCCTCGCCCGCGAAGACTAGGTATTTTCTTTTTGTTTTTCAAGTCGTCGATGAGTTGGTTGCGAGCAGATAGGAAACGACAGAGAGTGGTGATATATAATGGGAAAGACAGGTGGTTGTAGCGAAAGAGCCTGAGTAGGGCGTAGTGAGTGTGGAGATGGAAGGTACAGAAATGGAGAACCGATTCCTCCCAATGCGGAGGACGGTTTCGTGTTTTGTGCATTTGGGAACTGGACTGATGTGCAAGGGGTAATAGTATGATCGGCTGGAATGAAATTGACGATACTAGTGAGACATAGTAAGGTCAAAGGACGCGCCCTGGAATGGGGAATGTGTTGTTCAGGGTGACAGCGCGAGAAGCGGCTTAGTGACGCCTGATGTTGCAGTGAAGTGGAGAATGAACATGTGGTGATGGAGACGAAGGGATGATGGGGATGAACAAGGGCCTTGTTCACATGGCACATTCCGATCGTCAGGTTTTGAGTACTGGTTGTGTGCGCCATGTGGACAATGCTGCTTTGCGGGGGAAGACAAAGCGTCATTGCAGGAACACGTTCGACGAGACCAGGCAGTGAAAGCAGTGCACTCGACTGAAAGGACGAACGGACCGTCGAAGGCTTGAAAGTGACAGGCGGAAACTTACCTTTGAGGTGGTGGGTTCTTGTGGTGATGATTCTCAGAATCTGCTGGCTTTCCTGTCCAGGGGGTTGTGGTGAAGAGTGTGGAGAGGGAGAGATGATATATCTTCCGTCTTGATGCTCTGGTGCAGCGCTGCTGATACGGTTCCGTCTAGGACCTCTGGTCGTTGGTGATGGTGAAAGAGAGTGGGACTCGATTTTCGTTTCGCCGACGACTGACTGTGAAGGATGGTTTGACGAAGGAAGCCGCAAGTCTTGCTTGGGGGGACAACCGGAGGGATGGGGCGAACGACAGGTGGCAGAGAAAGGAGTGACAAGAAGGTGAAGTCGGCGTCGGAGGTCGGGCTGACTGAGCGGTGGTGGTCGTGGTGAGGTTGAGGGGTACTGGTGGTTTTAAGAAGGAGTGGAACGTGTCGTGAGAGACACTTGGTGACCGAGACCGAAGGGGTTTTGGAAGGGAATGTGGTTGGCGGATGGCCGTGTAAGGAATGTACTGAGGTCGGATTTGCGGTCTCTCCTGGAGGGTGAAGAAGAAGGGGTCCAGAACGAGAACAAAAGCGAGACGGACGTCGGGCTAAAAAGGATCGGGGAGAGCCAGACGACGAACTAGGATCTTGGGCCGCAGACAGGTCGAGGCCGGGTTGTCTGGGTTGTCTGGGTCTTCTGGGCCTTCTACTGCTTGGGTCCCTGGACCGTGAGCGTTTTGCGGAGAAATGAAGGAAGACGGGGGCGGCAGAGCCGAGAGTGCTTTTGCTTGTTCCTTCCTCATGTTGCTGGGTGCTTGCTGCACTGCTGGCCCCGACAACCAGGGGTACTTCCTTACCTACCTGCTCGGCGAAGCCAAGTCCTCGCCAGGCAGCCAGGGAGGGGTGTGGTTCCAGACCGTACCCGCTGCAGGTCAGGAACGCGCGGGTGTAGCTATGCCCGCCTGACCAATGAAGTTCCGTGCCCTGAGCGCCACAGGGCACATGCCCCTGCCGGAAAGAAATGGTGTACCCCCCGAGGGGCGTTGATGTATCCCACCATACCTGGGCATCTCCTACTCAAATCAACTCAGCTCGCTCAACTCTTAGTCCATCTCGTGGTCGTCAGGTGCCAACTAACGAAGCGCCGTGGTTGCACAGAATCCTTTTAGCACAGCACATTGTCCACGGTCGTGTACGAAGCCCCGATGAGCTGATGCTTCGTCGGAGGATGAGGCGTTTGAGTAACGCTCGGGCGGAGACGCTGAACTAGCACGAATGTGAACACGAAGGGGGAGAGAGCCAACGCCAGAGCCTAAAGGCACAGCACAGCCATGATGAGATCCTCCTGCTTCTTTCAGAACAGCGTGCAATGCACACAAGCCTAGGTGGCCTAGCTGCCTAGGTAGGTACGGTAGGTACAGTAGGCAGTGGATAGGCGAAGTATCTATAGCAATATTTCAGCAACGCACGGTACACACACGGGCAGCTAGACGCGACTGGTTCTACATAGTACACTGTCGATCCTGACCCAAATACACTCAAGCAACCAAAGTCTGCACTGCCAACGGTAAGACATGATCACCAGGCTGACGGTATCATGTCTTGGAGCCCCCTGACAGCGTCCGTCGACAGCGTCCATCGGGGAAGCATCCCCCCAAGTCAACGTGGCGATGATCGTGTCCATGCCGAAGCTTGTCGCTGGTGAGGACGGTGATGGAGGGAGAGGCAGCAGTCCAGCGTTGAGAGCTGGGCGCCCCAAGGGCATACTAGGAGAATAAGGGGCCAGGCATGCGACAGTCCTCTCTTGGCTCGGCGCTCAGGCGATGTACTTGCCCGGTCGGCACTGCAGCCACCCCCTCTCCTTATTTTCGCAGAGCATCGGCGCCAGCCAACCGTCTGCACCCAATGATCTCATCGCCAGGATCAAGAAAGCCCGTACCTTGCATTGGTGCCACAGACAATCTGGCAATCACACCTGATTGCTGCAAGGGTACCCTCCCGGAAGGCAGGGGCGAGAGAGGGGGTGGAGGGGTAGGAGGGCTCCACTAGGGGGGTTCTTGCTTCCCCTTAGACGCCACTAAGCAGGCCCGCTACTGTTTCTGAAACGGCTCCAATTTCGGTGGGGGAGCTGCCCCAGCGGTCCTGTTCGTCCAGTCTTGCTTTCAACGCAAACGTCGTCCCTCTTCCCCCTCCCTGCTCTTCCCAGCCTCAGTGCGCGTGCTCCCTCGGGCGCCCAGGGCACGCTGTGAACACGTTCTTTGTCATGCCATCCCATCATTTTGTTTGCGTCTATATCTGATAGTAGGACGTTGGCATTACCACGACATGGGACGGCACTCGCTGCAGGGCCGTCCCCAGTAGTTTGGACACGGCATCGTTGACGGCAACGTCTTGATGACCCCCTCCCCGCCCCAGCAAGCACTCAAGGCCAGCGACAGACATGTTGCCTGCCTGCCTGTCCCGCTCTCTGTATACGACCACGCTTATTACACGCCCATCAGAGGACCTTAGACCATGACCTCGCTGCATTTGCCGGTTCTGGACCGCTCTCAACAACTTTGGTGCCATGCCTCTCGACCTTGCATCCCAGTTTCCATACCCAAGGTAGCGAGGAAAGATATTGGCAGTCTCATGGTCGTCTCGCCCCCCTTCCAACCATCCTAATGGGCCGCTACTACGCGCGAACGAAATCCACACTCCGACGCCGCCTCCCTCGCACTCCTGTCTGTGCAAAGCGCCAGGCCCAGGGAACATGACGGACGTGCGTTGCCCGCGCCCTCTTGCAGCCCACCTCCCTTCGATTCGAGCGCCCTGAGCACGCCGACCCCCCTCCACACATCGGAACCTGAACCCCAGACCGGCAGGCGAGACGGGAGAGCAGCAGTGAACTGTTACATCGCCGAGGCTTGCATTTTCTCTTTCTCTCGCCGGAAGGAGGGCTGACGTGATCCTGGATACCGGCACTTGCGGAATGCAATACTGACCCCTCGCATCTGTCGTCAGCCGCGCTACCCAGAGGGACACAGCTGGTTCGGTGAGGCCCCGTTCATCCTATCTCGCCCACCGATTTGTCACTCGACACGTTTTCCATGTCTCCGCCGCTGGGACGTTGAACTTTCTTCTGCTCGTCGCGGAAGCCGCTACGTCATGCAGAGAGGGCCACCAGCCCACAATGCCCCGATGCGCTACTCAGCCGGTGGGATGGCTGGCTGGTCTCTGAAACCACCAACTCAACTTTCGCTCATCGTCGACTCAGTCCTCTGCAGCTTCGGGGGCAAAGAACCCATTCTTTGTCCCACCACACGCGGGGCTTCGCCGGCCTACAGTGCCAAGAGCACAGCTCGCAAAATACATACCTTAAGAGGAAATAGGTAGATTACTGACCTCTTCGTCCCTGGGAATACATGTACACCAAAATTGCGCGTCTAGACCGTGGCGGTGGGGATGCCGATCTTCGAGGGCAATCGAGTTTCCACTGCAGGATGAGAAGGACTCGGAACGATGCCTCATCTTCTGGACGCCATTTGCCCCACCGGCCTTGCAAGCTGTCATTACGCGGAGGCGCCGGCAGATACGTTTCGCGAAACACCAGCTTGACCGTCATCGAGGCCTGATTCGTCCTCATCGGTTGCGAGTAGTTAATTCAAGGCAGCTGCCAAGTTGCAATTCTAGCCTCCAACCCTTGTCCTGGTTTATTGCTGTCAGACTCACCCGGGACGATGATCACGACGGGGAGGGTCCCTGGATCCCCTGCAATTCGCTCATCTATCTCGCATCTCCCCGCGAAATGAGGTCTCTGTGCCGGCTCTGCCAGGACATCCTGCCCTGTCATCTCTCAAGGCCGCGATTGTTTGAGATTGTATTCTCCTGGTTCCATGCCCTCCCATCAGGCCATCGCGGCGGCTGTAGCACCATGACAAATGAGAGGTTTCCCACCCAAGATCCCAGCAAAATTAAGATCGCATGGTCTTTCGAGTAGATTGCAGTCAGTACTTGGAATCAAATGGGTCCTACTAATTTGCTCTTCTCACAATTCAATCCATCAACAACCTTGCCCTCCGGCAGTGGCACCCTTGGATGGTGCGGCACCAGCAGGTGCCATATCAGGTTGCCTATGGCCCTCCCCTTAAGACGTATGAGGCGTCATTTTGAAGGTTCAACGTACTGGTCCTTGTGCCGCCATATCCAAACACTCGAGGGGGTCCGAAACAGGGCCTGTCCGACAAAACAGCGGCCAATTCTGCGGCCAAAAGCCCGCCCGATGGGCTTTGTTTCTCAGTCATGCAGGTGCATAGCTTTCCCAATGACTCGTGAGCGTGACGCTGGGTTCCTCGAGAATCGTTAGCTATTTACAGTTTACACCTTGCTAGACTTTTCAGCAACCCGCCTCTGTTAGGAATGCACGTGGCCCGCCGTTCCCGGGTCACACCACGAGGCTCCGATCCAGCCAACGCGTGCCGCCGGGCTTACTTGTGAAGCTGCACGGTGTCCACCTCCAGGACACCGAGTCATTACGCGCCCCGAAACTTCTTTGGGGCGTATGAAAACGGTTTCCACTGAATAGCATTCCTCCGGGCTTGCTTCTTTGTTTCAGACCTCCAGGGCTCAGTACTACGTACGCCTACCACCTATCGCGTGTCGGTCTGAGGACCAGCATGCCCATGCCGTTTGCGGATCATGATGTTGATATACGTCAGCTCGAGAACTTATCTCCTGACGACTTTCAATGTCACCTAAAGTTGGTGGCCTGTAGGCAGAATCATGCGCATTGGATCACGGGACTTCACAAAGGCTCCGAGCAACCCCACTGCTCTCTGGTCATGTTGCTTGTTATCGGACTACACAAGCAGCCCAACAGCAAAGGCGGCCAAGCATCGTCGCGGGCTGCGAATATCCACAGGCTGGATGAGGAGGAAGCCAATGCAAGGTATAATAGCCACCCTTTTGAATCTCTACTATGTCAACAGTGGTGGCCTGGACGGTGATAGCTTCCATCCCATTGACCCAGAGTGGAGAGCTCCATCACAAGGTGCTACGAAACCCGCCACCACGTCCAGTTGCCGTCCTGATACGAGGCGGTACCCAGAACTCTCCAAAAGCAAACAGAAAGCCGGTGTCATGGCGAACTGTCTGCTCATGAAGCGCACCGTCAGCCCGCTGATTCACGTTCGGCGCCAAGTTCTCACTCCAGGCAATGACCGCCAAGAAATGTCGGCCAGCGGCGCAGCTTCTACTTTCCTGTGGTTCTCGTCATTTCTATCTCTGGGCACACATGTACCCAAGTGAGTTAAGCCATATTGGGGGGCTTTCTAATCTTGTTGCTGGTATGTTGGTACAAGTAGCACTGTTCCAAGTGACAGCCAAGATGTCGTCGGAGTCATCCAAGTTCCCCCCCCCCCCCCCGTCCTCGTGCTGTGGTCGTCTCTCCTCTTAAGGTCCTCGCTGCATGCCCTTGTAGATCTCTGTGAACTCGCGACAAGCTCACAAACCTGTCTGCAACTTTGACAATGAAACAACAAGCTGTTCTTGTCAGCTTCGCAGCAAGTCTTCCAACAGCTCTTGCCTGGATCGCGCCGAACGCACTGCTCGCCCGTGACGACGACATCCCCTACCAGGACATTGTCTGCAAGCCGGAGACGTCACCTGACGATGACCTGCCACCATGTGTGAGCATCGAGATCATTGAAACAGCATGCCTCAGCAACGGCACCGACGCCATTCACTACAAAGCGCACGCTCAGTGCATGTGCAACGGCTCCTTCTTTCCCGAAAAGCTTGCGTGTGAACGCTGCCACTTTGTCCACGGCCTCCGTTCTGAGAGCGAGGTCATCCGCTACGAAGGCATACTGGCTGCCGCCTCTGACGCACTCTGCGACGGCAGCCCAACGGCGCCGTTCGCCAGCCTCTTCGCTTCAGCTGAGGCTGTTGCCACACCTGTGTTCACTGGTGCTACCGGCGCAACAGATCGGTTCGTCAGCGAGACAGACATCAGCCTGTACTACACAGCGACAGGCGATCAAGGCGCTGGCACGATCACTGGGAACGCGGCAAGCGCGACGGCTACGGTCACGAACTCGCCGCCCTTCTCTGAAACACCAACCACGGGCACTATCAGCAACTCTGGAGAGGAGACACGTACCAACACTTCGGCCGCCGACGAATCGGAGACGAGCGGTACGGCCACTGAGGAGGTCAACACTACGGAGGAGGACAGTAGCGCTGTGCCGACCCAGGCTGCGGATAGGCTTGTCCTAGGACTTGCCGGCATGGCTTTGCTTGCCGCAGTCTGAGGTCAGTCGCTAGGCTTGGGAACCTATGTGTGTAAGAGACATCAGGGCTCTAGGATCCCCAGTGTTCTACCTGGTCGTCTTCATAATTATTCGCATAATCTTTAAGGTATCACGTATCAAATTTTACAGTAAGAGGGTATAGGCTCGCTGTGATTGTGACATATTTGATTCCCAAGGATCATCCCAAGTCGAGAGAGCAGAGAGACAATCCAGGCGTTCGCGTCTTTCATCGTAAAGCATGAGCCGGAATAGCCTCGGTCTGTAAGGCCTCACAGCTCCCACAAATCACGTAATGCATAGACATCTGTCTCGACGGAACACTGCACTAGTCTGACCTGTTAGCCGGGCACCGTAGATTGATTGTGCTACTCATCGTCCACAGTACCCTCAAAAATGAGACGACCCCATGTGACCAGCTAATACGCTACATTGGCAATGCGCTTTTTAGGAATAACTTTTGCAGATAGCCAATCAATGCACATCGCCTCGGCCTTGTCGAAAGTCATGCCCATGTGCAACCGCTGACCTTGCTACAGTGGCAGGACTTGAGCTTCTCCCCTTCCCAGTGGATATGTCAATCTGTCTCGTGTAACTCTCCCCTCGGCCTCCCCGCCTTGCTTCACTCTGTCCAAGCGTGCTTAGGCTCGCACGACGTAAACTAGCCCTGCCGTACAGACCTATCTTCTTCCGATGCCGAAGAAGTCGTACTAGGGGCTGCGGATCTGAGAAATCTCTTGTGGTCTTGCATGTTAGGCATCGAGACGGGGGCCCTGCGGATGGTTGCTCGTCAACGTGTGGGGAGGCGTGGATCGAGAGGAGTTGGTGTCTGCGCGGGAACAGAAGGTGCGAGATGACCTGTCAAGTTGTTGTCAGCGCGGCTAACGGCAGGGACGGGAGGCTGCGGCAAAGAACCGAACAGTGGGCGCAGAGAATTATCGGCATTGACATATGTGGCTCTCACTGTTTGGACGGTTGCTATCTCTTCAAGTTGTTAACCGTCCAGGGGCGCCATGGCATGCCTCGGCGTTAATGTATGCGCCGTGTGAGGTTGCTGTCAAGTTTTCCCTATTCTCTTGCTGCTGATCCGTGATCGACAGAGCCAGTGAGTTGTCAACGCATAGCTTGGCATGCGTGTCAGGGCCCCAGGCCGACTGTCGCGAGATGGCCCGCTTGTTGTGTGGAAGCACGAGAGAAACGATGCCACGGAAGGGCCCGAACATGCTCCAACTACCATATCTCGACCATGCTCGAAATCATGTGACGTAGCACATCAGAGCCAGAGGGCAAGGCGATGGCTGCGCACTTCATGCGTGAGGTACGCTGCCTCGTCCCGAAACTTCGCAGTCGTACTGTCTGCATGTAACTCACATGCGAGAACATGTCAAAAGAACAAGGATGATCATACGGCGAACCCCGCCCTACTCAATTGATGACATATGTACACAGCCGCATCGCAGCCTTGTGATCACCCAGTACTTTGCCTAACTCGTCTAGCAACACCTTTCTCCGCTCTGCACCACGTACACAGGCCACGGTTCACGCTTACGCCTGCTTCGCGCCCTCGGCCTTCGAGGGGGGGATGAACGGCTTGCCCTCGAGAGGGTTGATGGCACCGTCGGCGTAGATCATGTGTTGTCTCAGCTCGACGGGCGTGACACCTGGTCGCTGGTTGGGGATGTTCTTCTCGAGCTTCTGTTGCGAGGGGAAAAAAGAAGGGAGCATCTGGTCAGCCGGGTTCATCGGACGGTTCGCATCGGCGTGCGATGGGAATTGTACGTACGAGGTTCTCAAAGACACACTTGTTCAGCTTCCACTCCTGCGGGCGGCACTGATACAGCTGATGGTTGCGGTTCTCGAGGCAGTTCCAGTGGGCGCGGAAGGACTCGAGGCAGTGGGTGTTGATGTCCTGGAGGCTGTGGCCATTTGTCAGCGCCATCACATTTCTCTCATAGCCACACGGCGACGTGAGCCTGCCCCGATGGCGGGTCAATAGACGTACACGCTCTGAGCACACCTCGTCACCCTGCGGCCCTCCTTCATGCAGTCGAACTCGCCGCGGCCCGCCGAGTCGGTCTTGCACTGCATGTAGTCGTCATTGTAGTTGCGGCACCGGGCGCCGATGAAGAAAGACGCGGAGAGAAGGGGCGCAGAGCTCGCACCGACCTCCTGGACCTTGGGAATTGAGGCCGGGAGGGGCGTGGTGTCGTAGTGGACCTGCTCGTTGAACCTGGGGGAAGACACTGGGTTAGCTCCCTGCTGTCGCTGCTGCGCACCAATGCATCGAGCGAGCCGTCCAATTGAGGAGACACGTCATTCTCGGGGTGAGTGAAACGTACTGAGGACGTCGGGTCGACATGGTTGCGGCGTTTGAGGGGGTCGTGTCGTCGTGGTGATGATACAGGAACAAGATCTCGACGTTGAATGCCGAATTGATGTGAGGTCAGAATCAGCGACGCTTGATTGGTCCGTGTGGGCCAAGGCTGGCAGGCCTGGTACCAATTCTCGGTCAGTGCTCGGTGAGGCACGGTCCCCGGGAGCCTGGAGAGCTCGAGCTCCAATCATTATTTTCGCGTCGCCAGACCTGTACCGTCCACTCAGCCATCGAGTTCGAGCTGCAGCTCCAACGTTCCACACGGCGACCATTCTGTCCCATTCGACGATTGCGAAAAAAAGACCGAACTCATCGACACACTTCCCTGTCGGTTGAGCTTCGTCGCGCCGGGCAGGCAGCAATTGAGTCGACTGTTGTTTTCCCCTACGTCCTCATCGCAAACAACATTCCGCTCCGACAAACCTCACAGTCGTATCCTTGTCGTCATCACACGTCCATCGACACCTTTGCCTCGATTATCTAGCCATCAGCACGCACCCGAGCCGCAATGAGCCTTTTTGGGAAGCCCGCAGGGCAAGCTGGCGGCTTGTTTGGTGCAAGCACATTCGGCCAGTCCCAGCAACAACAACAACCGCAACAGCAACAGCAAGCCGCGCCGACCCTCAGCCTGTTCGGTGGCCAACAGAACCAGACGAATCAGCAGCAGAATCAGGGCACATCGAGTCTTTTTGGAGGATCCTTTGCGCAGCCACAGCAGCAGCAGCAGCAACAGCAAGTTCAACAGTCACAGCAGCAGCAAATGCCGAGCCTAGCACAGTCGCAAGCCCAGCTGTCGAGCTCCCTCTGGCAACCAGGCAGTGAAACACCACGTACGTCGCGTACATACACTCTATCGCATCCCTCAATGACAAAATCCCGAGACTAACGTGCAGCCCTTGCGCCTTGCAGAAAGCCAGAAGCCCCCGATGGAACAGATCGCAACCACGTTTCGCAAATGGCATCCTGGTGACCCCAGCTGCGTGTTCCGCCACTACTTCTACAACAAGGTCGATAACGCCGCGGTTCCTTTCTACCAGCCCGGCCCCAACGAAGACCCCAAGGAGTGGGAGGAGGCCCTGCAGCGCAAGCCTGGCCAGGGCTACATCCCCGTCCTCGGCGCCGGCTTCTCAGGTGTCGCCGACCGCCTGCAAACGCAGAAGCGCGTGGTTGGCGAACATAACGTCCGCCTGCACCAGATCAATGCTAGTCTCGATGCCATCCTCTCGCGACATGATCTTGAGACGAGCGTGCGGGCGCTGGCGGCGCGGAGACGACACGTCGCACTGCGGGAGCGCTGTCTCGCACTGGCAGCCCGCGTCCAGGTGCTGCGGAATCGTGGCTACGCCCTCAGCGGCGACGAGGATGACCTGCGGCTCAAACTTGTGGAATTGGACCGCGCAGTGCAAGACCCGGCACTGAGCGCGAGGGAGGAGGAGCTGTGGAGCAGGCTTATTGTGCTGCGTGGGTACGCGGACCAGTTGATGAAAGAAGTCAACAAACCGACTGCCACGAACGGGGAGTCGTTGAGCGAGGAGACGGAGTTGAAGGTCAAGAAGGTACGTACGAAGCTGGGCTTATGGTGTACGAAGCTGGCTAACGGAAACCTCAGGTTCTCGAAGATTACGAGAAGCAGATACAGCACCTCAAAAAGGAGGTTGAGTCTATCACGAAAGACTTTCAAGAGTGGGAGAGCGACGGTGCTGCGCGGTAGGATAGCGCAGTCAACCAGTGACGGATTGTGGTGAGCGGACAGGACGTGGCATGGCTGTCACAAGGCACGGACAAGAGGCGAACGGGCAGAAATATTCCGCAATGGCATCATCGGCGCCCGACAGTTTTCACTGCAAAATGCTCGAGGGAATACATCGGAACCGAGGTATGAAGTTTTCATGTCGTGAGATGCTAGCTGGCTTGAAGCCTTGCTACAGCTGGGCCGCGGAGGCCGCGTGCTTGATTATAGTACAAAATAATGTACAACAGGGTATCGTCCCATTTCACAGCCTAGTACCCGCTACCATTGCGTGTACATCTGGACTTGCTTCTTCTGTCATCTTATAAATCCTATGCCGCCGTGTTTTCGAGTCAGAGGGTGTAATGGCTTAGAAGACCTTAGAGACGGCGTCAATAGCGAAAGGGGCTGGAGAGAGTTAGCTTCCTTGGCGTCAAGATTCGACACCATCGTAATAAGCATACAGAGGTAGAGCATGACGGCCGAGACAAGGACCTGCTGGATGTTGAAGTTGGCCTCAGCCTCCATCTGCTTGATCTCCTCCTCGGAGAGCTGGGGGGGCGCGACTGCTAGCTGTTAGCAACAATTCGACGGTACCATGGAGCATAAGTTTGTGCACTAACATCCTCCGAACATTATGGCGGTTTCTGGGGAGATAAATTGGGTAGGTTTGGTGTGAGGGTTGATTCAGTCAGGTCGTCGTCGCGTCGAGCTATGATGTCGTCGCAGAAATTTAGGATCCTCGACCTTCAGCTCCCCCTGTGCCCGACCGTCTGACCAGGGGCATGGAACATTAGGTAAGCGAATGATAGCATGCTGATAAGAAGCGGCCTTCGGCTACAGTTACCGACCGGGCATGGCCCGAAGCCGGGACCTTATCAGGGATGAGTGAAAATATCGGCGTATCAGAAGTTCTTGTTGGGTAACGATAAGATAATTGTGGATGGACCGGTCGACTTTTCGTCGCACTCCTGACCCGTGTCGAGCCGAGCACGGTGACGGTGACCCGTTGTCCGGGGCAGGTGCCAGTCATTGATAGTCATGGTCACCATTGCCCCAGGTCAAGGAATATCATGGGCAAGGGCAAGAGCGCGCACGACTTGATCCTTCTCACCGACATCATCATTTCGGCAAATCATTCTCTGCCTGCTCCTAGACCTTGACCCTCTTGTTCTTGATCCCTTTATCTTCAGATTCGAGGCGCATCAAAATCGCACCCCGGATCTTTGTTGGTCGGTGGCAACGTCTAGGTGGGCATGAGTCGCTAATCATACCCGCACCCACCACTCGACCCGGACCGGCTCCTTCAAGACCCTCTTCACCCCTCGTGCCGAGGAATCTTCCCCACGACACCTCCCTCCATCCCCTCCTCGATCACCTCCAGCATACCCTCTTGGCCGTCAATTGAACCCAAACCGAGCCTCAATCTCGCTCGCAATGGCTTCTACCAGACTGCCCCTCCCCCGCCATCTGCGCCTGCGGGTGGCGTCGCCGAGGTTCACCACTGGCCTGACACGGGCATCGCCAGCATCCTCTGCACGTGTCGCCAGCCTCTGCGCTCGCCCTGCGACGGCGGCGTCCCTGCCTGTTGGCATTCGCGCCTTCAGCGCGACGTCGTCGGCCTTGACGCCTTACGCCAAGGACAACACGGACGCGTCGCTCGAGCCACTCAATGAAATTCACACCTTCATCCCCCGCCACATTGGCCCCGACATCCACGATGCCCAGCAGATGCTCAAGGCGCTGGATCCGCCAGTCAAGACCATTGACGAGTTCATTGCCGAGGTCATCCCAGCAGACATCTTGTCGGAGAGGGCGGCCTTCCTCCCCAATGGCGAGCCCCTCCTCGAGAGCGACATTGCGTCCATCGCAAAGATGCTCAAGACCACCGAGCAGTACTCGGCCCCCTTGATCGGTGCTGGATATTACCCCACCATCACGCCTCAGGTCATCCAGACCAATGTTCTGGAGAACCCGGCTTGGTACACCAGCTATACGCCTTACCAGCCCGAGATCAGCCAGGGCCGCCTCGAGTCGCTTCTCAACTTCCAGACCATGGTCTCCGACCTGACCGCTCTCCCCATCTCCAACGCTAGTCTTTTGGACGAGGGCACGGCAGCCGCCGAGGCCATGACCCTGTCCATGAACGCTCTCACGACCTCTCGTGCCAAGAGGGCTGGCAAGACGTACGTCGTATCCCACCAGATTCATCCTCAGACGCTCTCTGTCCTGCAGGGCCGAAGCCAGGGATTCGGTATCAAGATCGAGACTATGGATGTTACGTCTCCTGATGCCCATGAGCGCATCAAGGCTCTCGGTGACGACCTTGTCGGTGTCATGGTTCAGTATCCTGACACCAGGGGTCACGTCGAGGACTTCAAGGCTCTCGCCGAAGTCGTTCACTCGCAGAAGGCTCTTTTGGCTGTTGCCACTGACCTTCTGGCTCTGACTCTCCTCACTCCCCCCGGTGAGTGGGGAGCCGACATTGCCTTCGGTACTGCCCAGCGATTCGGCATTCCTCTTGGCTTTGGTGGACCCCACGCTGCCTTCTTCTCTGTCACCGACGCACACAAGCGCAGAATGCCCGGACGTCTCATTGGTGTCTCCCGCGATCGCACGGGCAAGAATGCCATGCGCCTGTCTCTCCAGACTCGTGAGCAGCACATCAGGCGAGAGAAGGCCACGAGCAACGTGTGCACAGCCCAGGCGCTGCTCGCTAACATGAGCGCCCTCTATGCCATTTACCATGGCCCTGAGGGCCTCAAGCAGATTGCCAACCAGGTCGTCGCCCGCGCACGCGGCGTTCAGGCGCTTGCCAAGCAATTTGGCATCACGACTGAGGAACCTCGCAACTCTCCCGATGGCAAGGTCCTCTTCGACACGGTCATTCTCAAGGCTGGCGACAAGCTCGCCGAGAACATCGTCGAGAAGGGTGAGCAGCTTGGTCTTCACTTCCGTAAGCTTGGCGGTGGCGATCTCGGCGTCAGCATCGGCGAGGCCACGGATGCGCAGGCGTTCCAGAGGCTTGCCATCACCTTCGCTGCGGCCACTGGTGGAGACCCCAACAAGGCTGGCGACGCTGCCATTGAGGTTCTCCGCAAGGAGGGCGTCGATGTGCACAGCACGCTGCCTGACACTTTCAAGAGACAGTCGGAGTACCTTACTCACCCTGTTTTCAACACGCATAGGAGCGAGACGGAGATCCTCCGTTACATCTACCACCTTCAGTCGAAGGACCTTTCGCTCGTCCACTCCATGATCCCCCTGGGATCCTGCACCATGAAGCTCAACGGTGCGACTGAGATGTCCCTGATTTCCAAGGACACTTTCTCCAACCCTCACCCTTTCGTCGACCCCAAGCACACCCCTGCCTACCTCGAGTTCATCAAGCAGCTTGAGGACCAGCTGTCCGGCATCACCGCCATGGACGCAACCACTCTGCAACCCAACTCGGGAGCGCAGGGAGAGTTTGCTGGTCTACGCGCCATCCGCAGGTACCATGAGCAGCAGCCGGGTACCAAGCGCGACATCTGCCTGATTCCCAAGTCTGCCCACGGCACCAACCCTGCGTCTGCCGCCATGGCCGGCATGCGCGTCGTCCCTATCGAGTGCGACAACCTGACGGGCAACTTGGATATTGCGGATCTCGAGGCGAAGTGCAAGAAGCATGCCGCCGAGCTGGGCGCCATTATGGTCACGTACCCTAGCACCTACGGTGTCTTTGAGCCGAACATCAAGCAGGTCTGCAACATTGTGCACGAGCACGGCGGCCAGGTCTACATGGACGGTGCGAACATGAACGCCCAGATCGGCCTCTGCTCGCCCGGCGAGATCGGCGCTGACGTCTGCCACCTGAACCTGCACAAGACCTTCTGCATCCCCCACGGTGGAGGTGGTCCTGGCGTTGGCCCCATCTGCGTGAAGAAGCACCTGGCTCCCTACCTGCCCGGTCGTCACCCCGACGACAAGGAGGCCATGATCAGTAGCGCCCCTTACGGGAGCGCCGGTATCCTGCCCATTCCTTGGGCTTACAACTCCCTCATGGGCAACCGCGGCCTTGCTCTCGCCACCAAGATGGCCATTCTCAATGCCAACTACCTCCTCGCGCGCCTCAAGCCCTACTACAAGATCCTTTACACTAATGAAGGTGGTCGCTGCGCGCACGAATTCATCCTCGACGCCCGTCCCTTCAGCAAGACGGCGGGTATCGAGGTTATCGATATTGCCAAGCGTCTTCAAGACTACGGATTCCACTCGCCCACCATGTCCTGGCCTGTGGCTAACACGCTCATGATCGAGCCGACGGAGAGCGAGAGCAAGGAGGAGCTCGACAGGTTCGTCGATGCGTTGATCTCGATTCGCGCCGAGATCCGCGAGATTGAAGAGGGCAAGCAGCCGCGCGAGGGCAATGTGCTGAAGATGGCGCCTCACCCTCAGGCGGACGTGATCCTGGGTGACAATGGCAAGTGGGAGCGGCCCTACTCGCGTGAGCAGGCGGCATACCCCCTGCCGTGGCTCAAGGAGAAGAAGTTCTGGCCCAGCGTTGCGCGTGTCGACGATGGTGAGTTCAACCTGCCAACTTGTGCACTCAGACTGCTAACAAACTCATAGCCTTTGGTGACACGAACCTCTTCTGCACTTGCCCACCCGTCGCAGACACGACGGGCGAGCAGTCATTTGGCGTGCAGGCGTAAAAGCGGGCTTACTACCTGTACCATACCATATAATCAGCATGCACGGATTCAATGCGTCGGAAACATTCAACATTTCGGCCGCAAGGCGTAAGGAGGGTTCAGAAATTTTTAACATTACAAAGCGGGTTCAGCGGTTCAACCTGGAATCTAGACGAGAAAGACAGGATGACAGAAGTGGTACGACGGGTGTTTTTCAACAGGCAGGATAGCGAGGGCTCGGACACGAATGACTTTATACCAATGATGCCGGGGAGGTTGCGCTTCGGCACCTGGCGGCCCCTGGCGATAGACGTGGAATGTGATCCGCGCTTTACTTCTAGACAGTGGTGTCGAATGACTGAGGATTCAATGAAGAAGCACACGGTGTTTTTAACCTACTGGGCGGCCCAAGGGGTTCTTGCTGTCTGAAAGTGATGGGAGATGTGAAAATGGGCAGCTTCTCACCGAATGACTCGGTTGACCGAGAGCGCACGTCTGGTGGCGGGGCAATTTTTACCCCGCCACCCCGCCATCCAGTCGAGAAAATTCGAAGCTCGATTATCGATCAAGCCTTGACAAGCTGCTTATCAAGCGTGCGACCAAACTGGGCTCTCTTTCTGTTCGCGCTCACTACATAGTCTTGGTTGGGGTCCTGTCACAGTCAACTGCATTTCAGAGATACCCAGATACCCAGGCGAGCCTCTTTCCCATTTTACCAGCTTCAGCTTCCTCTCCCACCATATTTCGACGAACGCATCTCACCCATCGCAAAAATGGCTGCCCGCCGCGAAGATGTCGAAGATGTCCACGATGAGGGCAACGACATGCTCGATGCCGAGGAGGTCGGCGAGGAGGTCCCTTCGGGTGACGAGGGCGACGTCGCGATGGATTCCGACAACGAAGAGATCCAACTTCAGAACGATTCGATCGCCTACTTTGACGAGCACGCTGATTCGGTCTTCG